ACTTTAGAAGGCTAATCTCGGCAAAACTTTCTCAGATCTATCCGGTAACATAGCCACTTGATGTTTCAAGTTCTTTTAACTATCTTTTTACACACAAATAGTGTATTACCCCTATATTGTTCGAATTTTTTTCATATATATATATAATATAGTTTTTATGCATATATTTAAAATCAATTCATTTCATATTTTTAGTGACTACAGGAAGACCACATACAGGTCATTCACAATGTAGATATATGGTTATCTTGGCCCAAGAAAAAGACGAGTAATTCCATCAGACAACATTTTCCAGCACCAGATAGAATGTATATGGGTTTTCTGAGTGCTGCAGCAGACCCAAATGCTGTTTATTTCCTTCTAAATACTTAAATTATACTTTATATGCATATTTAAATTTAGTATTTTAGATAATTTTTATATTTATTTTAGATACATTGTTGAATATTTATTATTATTGATTATTGTTGTTCCATTTTATTTTAGTTTATAAAATATATGTAAATAGTTTCTCCATATGTCATTTCAGTAATGTAAACTCTTTTCCCGTTCTGCATTTGATATTTGACTGTAAAAGTTGAATCTTTATGTAAAATCATAGACCAGAAGAATATCATTTGAAAACCTTACTTTATTGTAACTTTTTTTTTTGATACAAGCATTTAATTATTTATTGTAAATACATATTCAATAAATTAAATATATAAACACACACAAAATTTAGAAATAACTATTTACAGAATAAATAGTGTAATACATATTTTTTAAAAATAAATTATAAATATTAAACAAATTATATACACTAAATATTTCTATAAATATAATTTTTTAAAGTGAATAAAAAATAAATGTATTATACAGGTTCAATAAAGTATCTACACAATAAATATTGGAATAAATGTGTTTTTAATTAAATCTAAAATTAAATTTATTATACATATTCAATAAATTAGGTATATACAAAATATTCTAATAAATATATGTTTAAAATAATTTAAACATTAAATTATAATATATTCATTAAAGTAACTATATAAATAACAAATATAACATATATCATTATTACATTCAAGTATAAGTTTCTAAATAATTTTTAATGTTCGATTTTAATAACATTTGAACAAACTAACATGTTGAACAAGATTAAATATATATTTATGTATCCTGTATCTTTGGTTTAAACCTAGAAATATGTTTTGCCACTAATTCTTTGGTTTGGGGTCTTGGTATAGAAGCAATATTAGCTTCTATAGTAACCATCAACTACAGACTAAAGCTCTTTAATCCCTCCAGCTCCTGTTTTGTTTGGGGTTTGTATATATTTTTTTACATTTCTGATTAGTTTTTAATACATATACAATATACAAAAAGGAAAAGCAACATATGAAATAAAAAATGTTTTTTAAAAAACTTAAAGGGACTCTCCAGAAAGGTAACTTCTTCCCACGTTTCCTATTGTATTTGTAGATATTGCGCATGTTGTAGATATTGAAATGCTGTGTTATTTTGGTTCAAAATATTTTGGAACTATATATAAAACAGGTCCATGTTTAGTAAGGAGGTAGAAACATAGAACATGTGTAATCGTTTTCAACATCTGTTTTAAAAGAATTAAGCTGTAGAGGAATAACATTCAATTATTGATGATTTCTTTGTACAGAGCCATTTGATAAAATCCAACCACCTCCCCTCCCACCAACTGCCCTCCAACTACCTCCCCTCCCACCAACTGCCCAAAAGAGGAAGCTTGTTGAAAACACCGGGACTGTGAATACGGCTAAGTTGAAGGCCTGAGATAAGGTATTTAGATATCTTTGCACATATATCACTTATACTTACAATTTGTATATTTCTGTACAGGGGTGTTGACCTGGGGGTAGGTTGAGCCATGAATGTAGTGCCCTATAGCCCTAGATCTTTTTACCCTGTGATAAAGTGAAGGCAGATAGGCCTATAACATTTAACCCCAGGGGGAGTATGTGTAGTATGTGTTGTAGGCAACACAAACCAAAGTTTAGTTATGGGCCCCTGGGGCAGAGCATTTGGAGAGCAGGGTGGGCCAATGCTCCACTCCACAGTTTGCATACAACTGGGAGAAATAAGTTCCAGGCCAGAGTTTTGATCTGTCTCCAACCCACTGCTCAGCTGCAGATAATCAGCTGCAGCAGTGGGAACAAACCCCTGCCTGCTAGGCAGGTGAAGGGGGATTGCTGGCTTACTCCCTGGAAGCAGGTAGGAGAGAGTCTGTTCTCTCCTGTGAGAGAGTCAAGGAGACTGAGCACTGGGTGTGCAGAAGGAAAGCAGTTAAGGCTGACTTGGAGCACTGGGAGTGCAGAAGGAAGCAGTCAAGGCTTGCTTGGAGCACTGGGAGTGCAGAAAGGAAAGCAGTTAAGACTGGCTTTGAGCACTGGGAGTGTAGAAAGGAAAGCAGCAGGCTGACTAAGCACTGGAGTGCAGAGAGCTGACAAAGACACTAGGTTGGTGAAACCAATATTGTTTTGTTCTAGTTTAACCCGAGAGATAGGGAACCTGATGTTAGTAAGTGCTCAGACGAGCTAGGTTTTTGTTTATAGGGATTTGTGTTATATTTATGTTTTCATTTGCTGCTGTCTCCTGTGTGGACTTACAAATAAAGTGCCTGGATTATATGCAAATAAAAGGACTGTGCCTGTTGTTTACCCTAGAGGACCGTGCTAACTGCAGACAAGGATCACAACCTGCAGGATATATATCTGGTATATGGCTAACCCGGCCTCTAGCTAGTTCAGCGCAGGTTACTGCAGCAATGCTCTGATAATATGAGCACGATTACACAATGTCTGTGCTCGGTAGAGACCATTACAGCATTTTTATATATGGCCCCTCCCAACCCTGCAGTTGAAAACATTGCCGGGTTAACCTGCCTTTAGCGCTGCTTCCCAAATAGAAGAATAAAACTCTGCTATTTTAGTTAGATGGTCTCAGAAGATCATCTGATTAGTGCAGCATTCTTCCATGTGACCTAGCCTCATTGGATTGTCTGAGATCATTAACATTGATGGTCTGACTCAAAGAGGTGGAGCTTGAGTGGAGTGAACGGCGAGGGAAAAAAAGATAAGTAAATAAGGTATTTCTAAGCTGCTAATTAATATAAATTAATAATAAAGCGTGTGTGCGTTGTAACCTAACTATTTTGGTACACGTAGCCTGTAAACTAAGTTGTAAAAATTGTATGGCTCTTGTTGTACTCAAGATGTGACCTGATAGAGTTAAACACTATTTGGTCAACTTAAGGATTTATTCAGAATGTGTGAATTTATTTATTTTTGAAACATTGTAAGAAATTATGACTCTATATATTAAATAGAAAATATAATGTTTAATTGCGCCCCATTTCTTACAACATTGTGCGAGCTATGTGTGGTTTAATTTTTTTTTCAATTAGAAATCTATTTATTTTGCCAAAATTGAATGCTTGTAGCTTAGCGTGTGCACTGTATACTCAGGAAAGTAAAATGGTTTCTTTTTAATTTACAGAGAAACCGGACACTAAATACTAAATCGACACCGGATACTAAATCAATAAAGGGCTTCCCAATTCTTGAATGCCTGTGTCCAACCAAAGTGCCATTTTGTACCAAACTCATTGGATGTGACTACGAGTAGTTTAGATTTTTTTGAGGACTGGATGAGTATTGGGATATGTTTATGCTCTCTCTCTCTGTGGGAACAACATGTATCACTTTCAGAAACAAATATCCATACACTGACATTACAGGTTAATGAGCAGAAAGAAAACTGAGCCTGTCTACATTGGGAGGACATTTAAACATATTTATTTAGTTTCGTTTCCTATGGCTGTACAACACTGTGACATGCTTCTGTGGAAGGGGACCCCAACGGAAATACAGCTTTCAGAATCCATTTTAACAGATTGTAAGCAGCTTTTTAAAATGGGACAATGGTAACTTTTTCTGGGTCTTTTACAGAACACAAGTCTTAAAAACAAATACTTTTGTGAATCATCAAAAAAATAAATCTCTGTTTTGCAGCAGTTAAAAATGGTTTACATTTGCTGAATGAAAATTTTGTCTCTTTATTTTAAAAGTTTAATGTGATTATCTTGCACAATCTCAAAACACTGTAATTAGGGGAGACAAACCACAGAACTCTCTGTATTTAAACTGACATTCCTTTATAATTTAAAATATACATTAGAAATATGGTTTTTAGTCACACAGCAGGGATGGGCATTTAAGGGGGGCACAATGCAATATAACTGACAGCTCAGTTTAATGGCTGAATGTGGACATTCTCAGCCAATCACTGCCACCCATCTTTGCTCAGGGTAATGCTTCCTTGTTAGCCCAAGCAGCACAGAGGGGATGTAGCTGCTAGGGACTCTCATTTAACATATTTAAAACGAGTTTAACACTGAATAGTAGCATGGCGAACTCGAGAAAACATAACCACTTCAATGAGATGAAGCTGTTAAAGTGCCTTCAATGTACATTTAAGAACCACTGATTTTTTTTTTTTTTACATATCTGCTATGTGCTTGCTCAGTCAGCATGCAGGCAGGCAGGCAGGCCAGCTTTACATGGTCATGGACCACATTCTCCACAGGGCTGACTTTTTGGGGGGTTTGGTCATGGTAAAAGCATTAGGAAGTGACCAAACTCCATGTAAAACTGGTGCATTCTAAGTGCACACATTGGTGGTTTAGTGAAAATTCAGCTACTGTGTATCTATGCATTCTAGGTGCAAATATTGGACTAAATATCTATTCAGAATACACAGATATTGCCAGGAAGATTTGAGTATTCTAAGTGTTGGTTATGTGGCGTAGCCAGATTCAAGGGGGAGAGCTGTGTATTCTAAGTGTTGATTATGTGGCATAGAATACACAGATCTTCCCAGGAATCTGGCTAAGTGTTGGTTATGTGGCGTAGCCAGATCCCAGGGAAGATCTGTGTATTCTGAGTGTTGTTTATGTGGCGTAGCCAGATTCCAGGGGTGAGCTGTGTGTACTAAGTGTTGGTTATGTGGCGTAGCCAGATTCCGGGAAAGATCTGTATATTCTAGGCTGGGCTGCTTATGTGGCATAGCCAGATTCCTGGGAAGATCAGTGTATTCTATGTGTTGTAGCCAGATTCCTGTGTATTCTAATTGCATATTTTGTGATGCTGCTAGAATCCATGGTAACAGATGCAGCTCTGGTGTTAGAGGATACATTTGAAGAATAAACAAGGGGACATCAGGTATTAAAATATAAAGTAATTCCCTCCTCACCATGGATAACTAAGGCAAATGTTAATTGTTCCTAAGTAAAATGCTTATAGGAAATCATGCCCTCATTAGTACTAATTTACCTTTAAATTAGTCTTAAACACTAAACAAGCATTTGAAATAGTTTTTTTGTTGTTTTAATTTCAATTAAAATTAACCATATGATCTGGATTTGACATTCCAGTTTTCTTTCTGATATTGGCTACCAGCATCAAATCTAACTAAGAACCGTATAAAGGGCTGTTTCTGTAATGACAATAATGGCACTAAAAACTTTATTTAAGTTGGTATTTGCATGTGTGAATTTATAGCGGTTCCTATACAACATATAGGGCGGTTATATTATAAACTACAAAAATATGAGTAAAATCTGTAGTAAAATTGTATTTTTGAAGCCAATACTGCAGTTTATCCTTACATATAACTGTTATGTGCACTAAACTAAGCTTCCGGAAAAAAAGAGAGAGGAGAGATTGTAATCTTTCTTTTTGTAAAATCATGTTCACAGATCTTTTCCAGATACAATGTATAATTAAATATTTTTAGACTCCAATGCAATTGATTAGACCAGTGGTTCCGAAACGTTTTAGGTCCAAGGCGCCCCAAGTTAAATGTTTCCCTGTCAGGGCGGATCGAGAACCTAATTTTGTGAGGGGCACTTGTAGATTATTTAAAGAAACAATCCAGACTCAATAACCACTACAGCATGCTGTAGTGGTTATGGTGCCAGGAGTACTGTGGTGCCCTCCCAGAGTAAGTAGTCAAACTGTTTAAAAAAATGTCTGCTCTAGAATATTTAATATGAGAAAATATTACACATTAGTTACATTTTCTTTACCTCTGTACAGACTCCAATCAATGCATCAGCTGTAGAATAAAACTCTTCTTGGGAAATAACCAGCATCTGGCAATGTTCTCGTGACAACTCTCTGATATAACTTATTACCTAAAAGCAAAACAGACAGATCTTCCAGGACATGGCCGTAGTAGGGGGCAGTGGTGTGTGTTTTGAAGTCCCCCCTCCCTGATTACCACTGCCTGGGAGGGGGGACCTCTCCTCACTTTATTAATTATATAAACGTATAAGATAAAATAGTCTCTGTGGCGAAACCGACCTCGCCACTGGGCATTGGAGAAGACTGATTGCTAGCCTCCTGCCATGTGACTATGGCCCCTGGGATGTATTGCCCTTTAAAGACATGATTTGGGCATAAGGGATTTGTGTTGTGCTGCTGCTGGCCCTTTAAGAACCATCTGGGGACATACTGTGGAGTTACTGGGTGGCCACCATTTCCTGTATCAGAGGCACATGGTGAGAACAATGGATGGCGGCCATTTTAACTCACAGACACTGTTTGGACTTTTCAACACGGTGCCATCTCGCCAGTATTTGGTGCACAGAGACATCGAGCAGTGGTTTTGAACTATACAGCAGGGGACACATTATACAGTGATTGATTGTTTTTCATTTAGCCTGTATATGTTCTGCAGAATCTGCATTAAACTGTATCTTCCAAAGTACTGAACGGATCTGGGTGAATTTTGGATATGTGGTTTACCCAGATCCCCCGGTTCCAAGGATATACTTGTGGGGTTATTGCATGTTTTGGGGTCCCTGTGATGTGTTTTATGAAACTGTATTTTTCTGTCTGTGATAATTAGATTACCCATTGTGTAAGGTAATTGTATCACAGGCAGGGGGGAGGATTTTGTGTGGGAGTGTCTGAGTGTATTGTACGTGTTATTGGTTGTTCTGTAAAACCCTGTGGGCAGTACTAAGTTTGTGGATTGGGAATAAAAGAGGCTGTATGTGCCAGTCCAGTCAGTTCCTGCTTAACCCTCAAAGTCAAGTGTCGTCTCATTATTGGGGGAGGATTTATTGTATGCTGTTCCAGTTTGACTGCTAGGAGTGTAAACCTATTCGCATGGTTTTTCCTATTCTGCTGTATACAACATTCAATGCTTGAGAGCATTCATATGCTCATACGGTTCAGTGGTTTTGGTGTCTGCTGCAGTGCTTGGAGTCCTCCGGAAGTGCTAGGAGCATCCTTTATCGGAGGTACCCAGTCGGGGTGCTAGGTGATCCGTTACATTCTCTTCCTGTTAAAACCGAATTGCTCTGTAAAGGTGTTGCAATCGGTAAAGTTAAACAATGACAGAGATGGGTTCAGTGAATCTGATACCTCATTCAGATGGAAATGAGCAAAGAATACAGCTAATGTTGCAAAACCTGGGTAGATCCTCACAGAAATAAACAGATAGACAAGGGAAGTTCCCTCACAATGCCTACATGTGTAGGCGGATTTATTTGCAAGTAACATTCCCCTTCTTTCAGACAACCCTAAAGCTGTACTGAAAAATTGTTAGTCAGGTAGCCCAAATATCTCTGTATATGCAGCATTTTCATCCTGAAATGCTGCACATACAGGCTTCTTTCACCATGATGATGCTTGGAATAACCCTTTAACGGTTACTTATTACACTATACAAGAGGCTGCTTTTAAAATATCCATAAATACAGTGTTAAAACTATCCATGAAACCCACTTGTCTCGTGGAATGAACAGTAGATGGTATGCAATGGAGAGAAAAGAACAAATAAGGGTGCGCCTAAGACAAGTAGAATGAATATATAAAAAATATATCAGAGAGATGATATGGCATGGCCTGGTAAAACAACAGGTATAATTTATGACTTATTATAGGTCTTACGGCTAGGTTAGTTTGGATTCTATAAACAGAAAAGGCATTTAATGAAAATCAAGTTAAACTTCTCATGACTCCTGATTCATCTTGATAAAACTTCCCTACTGAAATTAACCTGGCTTCATCTGTCACAATGAAATCAGTGTGTTTTTCAGAAACTGGAGGACATCAAAGAGCCATCATGGGAAAGACAAGCTGATATATATATAAAAGGTGTGGAAACGCAAACATTTAAAATAACAGCACATATTACCTGATTCAATACATATGCTATTAGACATCATATAAAAGACAAAAATAAATAAAAATACCAAAAAAGAAGTGAGATTGTTTGTCTTTAAAGACCTACGCCTGTTTAAAAATATATACATGAAAACAACATATGCTGAATGAAGTTTAATTGCACAACAGGTAATTCGATAACACAAATGTATTTTATGTGTTAAATGTAAACAACAATAACTGAATTTATCTAATCATATAGCTACTTGCTTGGATAATCAAATTCAAAATATTACCAAAAACAGATTTATACATGTTGAAAGAGCCCAAACCACATAACCATACGACGATGTATGGATTGTAAACATACAATAAAAACGTAAACAGTACTGGGTCTCTCAGACTGCCAATCTACTTTTTCTGGTCACTTTCCTCATCTTCCGCATACATGGTAAGGTCCAGGGTCAGAACTTGACTCAAAATGGCTTCATCTTGCTGAATGATAAGAAAAATTATTAATTATTAATATTGGATGTATAAATGAGAAATCACTTTTTTTTTATTATTTGAAAACTTGGTTTTATTAGTGTTTCACATTGTTTAACTTTCAGCGCCTGCTAGCCAGGGTACAGAATGTAGAAAGGGATAGAGCAGGAACATTTTATTACAGCATGGGGTTCATACACACTTGACAATTTTCACATTCCCTTTTCTTTCCCAATGTCTCTTCCCCGCTCCCTTTTGATATCTGCTTAGGACTTGTCTGGTCCTTTACATGTTGTTTGGTTGCTCTGTTTTGAGTTATCGCATTGTGTCTGCTGTCTAATCCCCCTGGTTGGTCTCCCTAGCCCTCCCCCCCTCCCCCTGTGTTGAGCGTGGTGTTTGTCTAAGTATGCCCTCCATCTCTCCCACGCTTGACCAGTGTGTTTCCGCTGCCCTAGGTGTTTGTCGGCCATCAGCTTGTATTTCCAGTTGAGGGAGATTTGGTGTATTAGGGCCTCTTTCATGGGTGCCTGCGGTGACTTCCATGCCCTAGCTATGAGTGTTACTGCTGCCATTAGCAAGTGGAATATCAGTCTTTCTTCAGTTTTACTTATTATGTTTAGTGGCCATGGTCTACCTAATATTTTTACTGCTATCTTTTCCACCTCACCCCAGTACTGTCTAATGTTAGTACATGACCACCATATGTGACTCATCGATCCCTCCGTGTCCCCACACCTCCAGCATACGTTGGGTGTGCCTGGGTATATCGCAGCTAGTTTCTCTGGTACCATGTCCCATCTATATTGCCGCTTTCAAATGGTCTCTAGGTGTGTGGTGCACAGTGTGTTTCCTTTATTGATTATAAAGGCCTGCTGCCATGCATCTGTCCCCAGAGTATGCCCCAGTTCTGTGTGCCATGCTTTTTGGAAAGTCATGTCAGTCACTGCGTCCTCTGCCAGTAGGGCAGTGTATAGTGTTGAGAGTGTTTTCTTTGGTGGTCTGCCCATTAAGCAGAGGTTGTCAGCTTTGTGTGGGAGTGATGGTTCGTGGTTTTGTATTTGGACACCTGTGAGTAATGACTTCATTTGTAGATATGAGAACAGTGCTCTGCTGGGTATATTGTACTGTGTTTGGAGTTCTGGAAAGGGCAGCAAGCTGTTGTCCTTGTATATATGGTTAATCATGGAGCAGCACGCCTCCTTCCATGTTTTTGTGTCCAGGGATGGGATGCCCACCGCTAGACAAGAGATAATGGCGCCTCTTTTTATTTCTCTTTGATCTCTCCCCTCTCTTCATCCCAGTGCTTTAATGTCAAGGCTGTAGTTGGTAGGGGGTGTAGGTGCTGTGGGCGTAGGGGTCCCGGGAGCCAAAAGAGGTCTTTTGTAAAGGGAATCTTTACTCTGCAAATGTCAAGACCAGTTTCAGGTAGGTATAACATTTTACAAATTATAGGATGTGCTTACAAATTTAAAATAAATTGCATATACACAAAACATAGTGCCGAAACTACCAGCAAACACAAGCTAATCTGTCTGACCTTCAAACACTTAGTTTAATGTCACTCACACAGTGACAAGAAAATGTGCAATTTGTAGGCCACTAAAGTAAAATTCTCCAACTCAACAAATTTTTAGCTCAGCAATTTGTAGCAAACCTACAAGTCCTGATTTAAAAATGTAGGACTATGGCAGAAAACGGATTTGGTTTGCATTTCAAAGCAGCAACCAAACTGGTAGTTTAAACCTGTATACCAAAAAAGAAACTCTACAAATAACATGTATTCCATACTTTTTCTAGCAATTTAGCCTAATATGCTAATAACATTTTATTTGCCAACTTCTGTAGAATTCACAAATATAATACTACCCACAATTTCTAATAATTAATTTTGTCTTATATTAAAAGGGGCACTCTAAGCACCATAACCAATACAGCCCCAAGATTGAATAAGAAAAATCCCTAAAACTAAAAACTGAAATACAAAAAAAAAACCACCTCAATTTGCTGGATACCTTTTGGGTTTGGAGATTCTGCAGTAAGCTCTCATCAAACCAGGAAGTGACTCAGACAGTTAGGCTGCCAGCATTATATACAATGGCATTGGTGTGTATATAACCTATTCAAGCAGTTCAGCAATCTGCAGTAGTTTCATCATATTATACAGTGTCTGCTATGCTTACTAACCTCTCCATTCACAGTTTTGTGATTAGATTTATCAGACATGATTGCTGTGCAAAATCCTCTGAATTGTACGTGAGAATACAGTGCACATCCCTGGAAAGGTACTTGATTGGGCAGAGATGAAGCATCTGGTTTGTCCTGGCATATTTCTCAGAGGAGGGGTTAACTACACCTTCGTTATTAGGGTGATTTTTGCACATATATAAGACAATCAAGTTTATTTACTAAAGTGAGAATCGTCGGGAATTCACAATGAATTTCAAATGTAAGACCAAAATAGTCTAACTTGGAAACAATTCTCCAATCCAGCTATGCTTCCAGGTCAGCTTCTATGGTGTTAAATCTGAAATTCACATTAGTTCTCACTTTAGTAGATAACCCTTAAGGTGTTCAGGGAAACAGTTGTACCTTAAACTATGCAAAGGGCATAGATTGTTACTGTGCTTACAGAGTGCATTTAATAAAACAGATGGAACCCTACCTGTTGGCTCCCCCTAGTGTATAGTCATGTATCAGCAGCTACATCCCAACACATTACTGGCTAAATGCATTGTCTTTCATATTTATATATATTATTTATTTCACATACAAGCATTACATGGATCCAAATAGGCTATCAAATTGTAAATGTTCTGGAAAGTTCATGAAAAGGGACAACTGAGGGTCATATTTGGAGATTTCCCTTGAATGTGCTGTGTCTGCTTAGAAATCAGCCCCAGATGTCCATTCCATGCCAGGTATTGGAGTTCAGACATTAATCAAAGCTGAATTTCAGGAACACAGTTTAGGCAAGGCGAATGAGCCTCTGAACCTGAGTCATGCACTTTGTAGGGGCCCATGGATGTGGAAGTTGTGATCCTGCAGCTTCCACACAAAGACAATGTGGGTCCTGGATGGTAATTGTGTGCACACACCCAGAGGGCACACTAAGTGCACATTTACGTTAGTGAAAGCGGTTGCCAGAATGTGACATCAAGGAGAGGCAGGAAGGAACTCTTGTGCCCTCCTCAATAGGTGGATCCTAGGAGAGCAGTCCAGAGTGGAGGGATACTACTTAGAATGTGAGTGTCTGTATGAGTATCAGTGTATGACTGTCAATGTAAGTCTGTGCAGCTCGAGTATGCTTCTCAATGTGTCCGTGTGTGTGTTATTGTATTTATGATTGTGTATGTATATTTGTTTATCTATTGAATGTTTGTGTGTGTTACGTATGTGCATGAACCTGTTGCTAATTAGGTTGGGGTATGTGGAAAGGTATGGTTAGCTGTGTGGATATGGTTAATTACATGTATGTGGATGTGGGAGTGGGCTTAGCAAATGTTTCTTGCACAGGGTCCTGCAAATGATAACAGTGATCCCAATGAATTGATTGTATATTGCCCTGGAATTTGCACATTTTGAGGCATATTTAAAGACTGCAGATATCTCTCTCCAACTGCTTAGGTCATTAATAAATAAAAGTTGAAATAGCATCCCAGGACCCCCTACTAACAGTCGTTGGTACATTCTATCACATAATGGGAGTACACAGTGCTTAGTTTTATTAACACTCAATATTTATGTGAAGAAATAATTCACATTCTGAATCCCACCAGTTAACATAGTATCCAGGTAGCCTGTTTAATTCTTGACTATTTAATTTAACCTATTGCATAGCCAGCGTGTTAACTTATACCTTGATTGTTAGCTGGTCCCATCTTGATATTATGCCAACAACATTTGGGCCCAGTGCTGAAAAGCTAAAACCAGACATTTCTGCTCTAGAATATTTAATTTGAGAAAATATTACACATTAGTTAAATTTTCTTTACCTCTGTACAGACTCCAATCAATGCATCAGCTGTAGAATAAAACTCTTCTTTCAGAGAAATAACCAGCATCTGGCAATGTTCTCGTGACAACTCTCTGATATAACTTGTTACCTAAAAGCAAAACAGACCGGTAACAACTAAAACAAGATACATGTTACACCAGTTCAGATGATTTTGTGACAGTTATACGGCTGGGCCAATACTAAAAAGCCCTCTGATGATCTACTAATCAATAGAATGGTACAACGGACAAGAGGTTATCGAATTGGCTTAAGGGTAGAAGATTTCCCCTTCCGCAAACAAAGTCATGATGATGGGGAATTTTCTGCCTATAGAGGTTTCAAACTGGGCTTTTGCTTTCTGTTACATCAACAGCAGAAACATTCTACAGTATAAGATAACCATAGCACAACATAGTCATTATTAGTATTATAAGTACAAAATTATTATTATTAGTATTATTAGTACAAAAATAGCAAAGTCAGCACTAGTAATGTGCATCATGAGTATAAAATATTTTTTCAATCTTACAATTTTTCAATGTACAATGACACACCAGGCCGCAATTATCCATCAAATTAAAGGTAACACTTGTGGGTTTAGAGTATTTGTATCAGATTTGGTTAAAGGACCACTATAGTGCCAGGAAAACATACTTGTTTTCCTGGCACTATAGTGCCCTCAGGGACCCCCTCCCGCCCGGCTCTGGAAAGGGGAAAAGGGGTTAAACTTACCTTTTTCCAGCGCTGGGCGGAGAGCTCTCCTCCTCCCCGTCGGCTGAATGCGCACGCGCGGCAAGAGCTGCGTGTGCATTCAGCCAGTCTCATAGGAAAGCATTTACAATGCTTTCCTATGGACGCTTGCGTGCTCTCACTGTGAAAATCACAGTGAGAAGCACGCAAGCGCCTCTTGCGGCTGTCAATGAGACAGCCGCTAGAGGAAATAGGGGAAGGCTTAACCCATTCATAAACATAGCAGTTTCTCTGAAGCTGCTATGTTTATGAAAAAATGGGTTAACCCTAGCTGGACCTGGCACCCAGACCACTTCATTAAGCTGAAGTGGTCTGGGTGCCTAGAGTGGTCCTTTAATGTGTATATTTATATTGTGAACACTTGGAGATGTCATTGTACACATCGGTGAGATTGTATTAACATGTTTTACTCATATGATGCACATTACTAATGCTGACTTTGCTATTTTTGTACTAATAACAATTATTGTATAATGTCATGTGCTATGATTTATCGTATATATTGTATCTGATTTTCTAATTGGTTATTGGGACTGCACCATTTAGCACCCTGTACAAATTATCTTGGATTAGCATTAAACCGCTACAGTTAAGCGCATCCTGCATTAACAAGAAAACATGCAGAATTTAAACCTCCAGGTCTCATAATTTGGACTGGGGGGTCGATGCAAGAAGAAAAAATTAATTACGGTTAAAATTAGGGGACTTTACTTTTGGAGTACTATTATTTTTTTTGAATGTAGGTACAATTCTTTTACATAATAAACACATAGCACTAGTAAAGTGTAAGTGAATATCAATATAATAAGGATTGGGAATTAAAATAAAAATGATCATATACTCTGTTTTCTGTACATTTTGTTAGTCTTTATATTAAGAGATTAAAATGTATAATAAAAGTGTACTGAAACACAAATTTGTTAAAAATCTTAAGGTAATTTGCAAGAGAATGAGCATTATTATATTGGAATTCCACAAAATAAAGGGCATTACTGTTTGAATGTTTAGGTCTTCAAATTGGTAGCAATGTGCTGAAAAAACACCTATAAAAGTTTATTGTCACTAATGTACAATCAAATCAAATAAATAAATGTAATTTTCTGCAGCTTTTTTTTCTGCACTTTTTACAGTCTTTTTGAGCTCTGATCATCTCTCGGATTTAAAAGATATACAGAAAAATAGATGTTTAAAATTCTCCAGTTCAGAATATTTTTCCAGCTTTGCTCCTTTGGCCTAAAATATGCAACTTCCCCAATTTGATGAATATCCCTATCTGGATCACTAACACTGCAGCCATAAAAATGCAGTTTTATGCATTACAATATCTATTTTTTGGAGATGTCCTGTTCTGATTGAGAACATGGTGATAAAACATGGAAACTCTCCCTTTGTGTTTTTTTTTACTGAAGGTAGGAATATAAAGTTTTTTTCTAAAACCTTATGGGTCCCTTAAAAATGCCATATATGTAAATAAAAAAGAAAGGTTATTTTAGCGTTATTTGTTTGGCTCTATAAGGGGCTTTATTCCCCCGCTGTAACTTACTTTGCCAATATTTGTATTGTCCAAAGCAGCATCAACCTCATCCAAAATGAAAAAGGGGGCTGGACGAAAACTGTAAACAATCAAAATCTTACAATTACTATAAAAACATTTTGTCAAACTATTGTATTAAAAAAACCACATACAGCATATGTACATCTAGGGACCGCTCCCATCTTTTAAAATGCAGAATGAACACTTTAATGTCCATTTCATTCAACTCGGTTAACATTGAATGGCTGATAGAGCTGGGGGAGGGTTAATATCTTTGTAATGATTTTTGGATTTTGTTTCAATTTATGGGAAATTGTTTTAGAAATTCAAAGCACCAATCGCCATCTTTTTTTTTGTAAACTAATTGAGAGTTATGGAAGGAAAAAAATTGAGCAATGTCAAATGGCTGATGGGGGGAGCAGGATAAATACAAAACTCTGTATCAGCTCACACCCTTATCTCTAACTTGCAAGAGGTGATCTATGTTGTGCAGTATTTTCTAATTCAGGTCTAAGATCAGGGAACATGCACATACAGCCTCTCAGAGCTGTTTATACCATCTTTAAAAAAAAAAAAAACACACAAAACCCAAGGGACATATCTCCAGTCTCATTCAAGACCAGTAGAATGCATTAGGAAGTCTATCATGAACACTGCTCATCTACATTAATTTTCGGTCAAACTGTTTGGAGGCAGTAGAGCATTCAATTATATTCAACAATAAATAACTAAATAAAGGGCGTGCCTGGCAGTTAAAATAGTGCAAGCTCCCTAATATGACACCAGTTACTCAAGGAGCAGAACAGTAGAAGATCAGTAACCATGTAGCCTTTCTGCCAGCAGCGAACATAGAACTAAGGAAGCTTCAGCTGTTACCAAGGTGATTTTGACAGACCAGCATAGGAAGACTTTCATACAGTTTGATTCCTGTTTGAACCCTATTCACCCAGGTACTAGCTGTAGAAGCAAGAGAGGAAGCCTTGAGTCTGGACATGCTGATATGAACGCCCTGGTAGATGTCAGGCAGCTGCTTGTGAGGGTCTTGTAGGCCGTAACAGTGATGCAAACCAGAGGATCTATACTCATTCTTGCATGTTTCAGAATGTGCACCCTCAGCTTCTGAGCATGTGCCAAAAGACATTCCAGTCAACAGAAAGTATATAAAAAAAAATCTTTTATTTAAAAAAATATATATTTTATAAAAGGTATCCAAAAATATTAAATAGTGACCTAAATTACAACAAGGCAATACAAATATTTAACAAAGTCAAATAAATGATGCAGGAGGCTGTATTTACTGCACATTTCTTTGTGAACTGCCATAATCCTGTCATGGAGAGTTAGAGAAGGCCCAGATTCACGCCTTCTCTGCCACTCTTTGGATCACAACACTGGAAGTGAATCAGGGCTCTGGAGTGAAGTCATTTTACTGTTTTCCTTTGTTTTTGCATTTGTTTTAAAATCTCAGTAATACATAGTAGAAGTACTGTATTGCTGACAAATAAGAACAAATACAAATGTGAAATAAAATAAAATCACTCGAGGAAAATAATGGAATATGTTTCTGTTAGCCAAACTCTCAGTAATCTAATAAAGGCACCTTGTAAATGTAAAACAAACTATTTTGGAGTTCATGAGGTTCCTTCCTCAGCTTCTGTTTTCACCTCCTATTCTCTGCATGATATCAACCTGTTATGGGCTTGACCCCCTTTGACCTGCTGTTGGTGAGGGTGTTGGCAAAATATTGAACAATGCGTAGTCACACAGAGCTAGTTTAACTAATGTTTATGCTTCTCTTTAAATGTAATATAACCATACCAGTCAAATGTCACGCCCATGAAGGTCTTTACCCATTGTACAGTGCCCATTTTTGGTGCTTTATAAATTACAATAAAAAATAATACAGTTCAGTAACTGACAGAGACCCACGCCAATAGCAGATCACAGTCAAAATTAATGTAAGAAAAACTGAATGCCTGCAACTTTCTTTAATCGCTTCCTCTTCTCTCCCTCTGTCAGGACCTGTTCTTCATTTCTTCCTGTCTGCTCTAGTTTTCTATAAAACATAAGACAAAGTATGGACTATTTTGTCTTATGGAGGTTTACTAGGCCTGACCATCTATGACCAACGGAGGAGCAAAGTGTGCTCCGTTTCCTGTGTTCAGAGAAATTTTCCCACAATTCTCACCTTTTCTCCGTGCTCTTGCGATGCCTCCTTTCCGTATTCCCGAACGCTGGCAAAACTACCGAATTTCGTCCTAACAGAATGAGAGCAGTTCGTCAATTTGTGTTAGGATGAAATTCGGGACGTTTTTCTGTTCGAAATTTCATTCGAATGAATGAAATTCCGATCTGATCACGGCTGCATCTTGCAGCCGCTCAGTAGCTAGCTCCCTAATTCCCACGAGATTGGTCTTTCAGGCAACTCTACTAACACCAAGTAAAAATTACTTGGTATTAGTAATTAATCTGCCCCTACTCGCTACATCGCGAGTAGGGGAATGTCTAGTAAACAGTGAGCAGCCACAGTTGTAAAAAAAAAAAATAAATAAAAAATACCACCCCCCCGATAAATGGCCCCATGGTGGGGGCTATTCAAGTAAACGGGGGACAATGGTCCCCCTTGGTCCCCACCCTTGAGCGGAGTGTGGGGGGAAATCTATTGTCCTTCCCCCCGGCCCCCACCCATGAGCGGCGGGTGGAAGCTTAGTGTAAATACCTCCCCTCCCACCGTGACTAGAGGTCCCCAAGCTCCTAGTCACCCCGCCACACAATTTTATTTTAATAAAACCTACTTCCCCCCTCACCCTAAAAATAGTGAGGGGGGAACGAGAAAACTAAATCCCTGTAAATAAAAAATAACTTACCATTTGATGTCTTCTTTTTTCTAAAATCTTCTTTTTTCAGCCCCAAAAAAGGCCAAAGAAAAATTCATATTACAAGTCAAATTTAAAAAATAAAATAAAAAACTACAGTACAGTACATTTAAGTCTCTACATTTACCTGTCACAGCACTGATTGGTTGGCTTGAAATAGCGAGTATGGGCATATTAATTACTAATACCAAGTCATTTTTACTTGGTATTGGTAAAGTTGGCTGAAAGATTTGAATGAAATTACGAACCGAACAAAGTCCCGAATGGACAAACTGCTTTCATTCTGTTAGGACGGAATTCGGTAGTTTTGCTGGCGTTCGGGAATTCGGAAAGGAGGCATCCCGAGAGCACGGAGGAAAGGTGAGAATTGTGGGAAAATGTCTCTGACCATAGGAAACGGAGCACACTTTGCTCGTCCGCCGGTCATATATGGTCAGGCATAGGAAATCTCCATAAGACAAAGTAGTCCCTACTTTGTCTTATGTTTTAAAGAAAACTAGGGTAGACAGGAAGAAATGAAGAACAGATCCTGACAGAGGGAGAGAAGAGGAAGCGATTAAAGAAGTAAGTTTGGCATGACAGTGCCACTTTAATTGGAGTGCTTCTGTTTACATTGCTGCTCACATTGTTTGCAATGTAAGCAGTTATCTAACAAGAAAAACTGCCATTGTTTTCCTTTAAATCTTTAAAATGGCTCATCCTAGCCCACAATACACAGTTAAAGTTAGATTTGTCTGCAAGTGACCAATGTCTTGAACGGGACGGGAGACCTACCTATGTATTGCAAACACTAGTGCCAATGCAGCCACAGACTTCTCTCCACCAGATAAATTGTCCATGGGCATAAAGCGCTTTCCAGGTGCAACGCAGTTATAACCTATTCCTTCCAGATAAGGTTCTTCTGGATTTTCAGGGCTAAGAAAGGCCTAAAAATAATATTTGTTATAATCAGTATATCTGAAAGTCTCTGCTATATAAAGTTATATCTTAAGCAACAGATAACATATTCTAAAAAAAAAAAAATACATAAGAATTAAATCACGTTTTATCTCCTTAAATGTACCTCATAATTTGTAATACTGTTTTCTATGTTTGGAAAAACCTGTGGCTTTGAGGTGATTTCATGTGATTAGTGCCTTAAACCTTAAAGGGACTCTACAGTGACAGGAAAACAAACAGTTTTCCTGGCACTGCAGGTCCCTTCTCCCTCCCACGCCATGTTGCTGAAGGGGTTAAAAACCCTTCAGTGACTTACCTGTATCCAGCGCCGATGTCCCTCGGCGCTGGTTCAGGGTCCGCCCACACTCCTTCCCTGCCGATGTCATCTGGCGGGGAGACCTGTTGCGCATGCGCGGCAGCTGGAGACCTGTTGCGCATGCGTGGCGCATTAGACCTCCCCATAGGAAAGCATCGAAAAATACTTTCCTATGGGGATTTCAGTGACGCTGGAGGTCCTCACATAGTATGCTCTACACACGGAAGTGCCCTCTAGTGTCTGTCTAGTAGACAGCCACTAGAGGAAGAGTTAACCCGGCAAGGTAAATATTGCACTTTATGAAAACTGCAATAATTACACTTGCAGGGTTAAGGGTAGTGGGAGTTGGCACCCAGACCACTCCAATGGGCAGAAGTGGTCTGGGTGCCTGGAGTGTCCCTTTAAATTCATGGCAAATATCAAACACAAATTATTAAAGGGACACTGTAGGCACCAAGACCACTTCAGCTCATTGGAGTGGTCTGGATGCAATGTCCATGTCCCTTAACTTTTTAGTGGTAATTATTGCAGTTTCTGAGAAGCTGCAATAATTACCTCTTAGGGTTAACTCCACCTCTAGTGGCTGTCTACCAGACAGCCACTAGAGGGCTTCCTGCTTTGAAACGGACCTTTGGTCCGGTATCTGACGCTGGACGTCCTCACGCTCTACATGAGGTCCTCCAACGTCCTATTTTTTACCTCATAGGAAAGCATTGATTAATGCTTTCCTATTGGGAAATCTTAATGCGAGTGCGGCCATAGCACATTCGGTCTCCCCCACTGACTGACGTCGGCAGGGGAGGGGCATGGGCGGATTCAGGTAACAGGGACATCGGTGCTGGATTCAGGTAAGTGACTGAAGGGGTTTAAACCCCTTCAGTGCCGCGGGAGGGGGGGCAGTGCAAGGTAGGGGGCACTGTAATATTCTATAGTGCCAGGAAAACGGCCTTTTCCCCCTGGAACTATAGAATACCATTAAATCAACGTTAATTTTCATGGTAGAAGTCCTGCTTACAGTCATCTAGAGTCTTCTAGACAATCCTACAGTTATGTAAGACATACCAGAAGCCACCATACATACAGAGGAATAGTATATGCTAATACTAGCAAGTATTAATTACTACACAAAGAGAAATTAATAGAGAGAGAGAGCGAGAGAACTGCACATGTGCAGGACAGAAAGAACTGGAGAGCTGAGAGGAAGGCAAGGTTTAAAATAGCTGGAATTTTCCTACACTGACTAGGATGTGATCCTGGCCAACCCTTTCTCTCCACTTCTTGACCCCTATACTTTACAGCACCAGCCCACTGCCTTTACAGTATCACGCCTTCTCTTGTGGAACAAAACGATGTCCTTTCCAGTTATGTTGAACTATTATGTATTAGTATAGAGGAATATGTTTCTTACAACCTTTTTTTAAACATCATACTTCTATGGCTACTGTTTGGCTCCTGCCTCTATATATAAGGGTGTTTAGTTGGTCACCTGAAAAGTGTAGAAGACTATTTTTTGCAGTGGGTTCATCCTTTATATAAACATATGAAAAAGATATGAAAAGATTAGGAAGACTGCTTCAACATCAGAGAAGGTAACCACAAGTATATCTGAATGCAACGAATGCTGTCAAGTTCATATTCACAATTACCCCAGCTAATATTTTATGTCTGTGAATCTACTATAATGCTGCCAAAAAGTGGAATTAAACTAGCTATACACTTGGCTGTTAAAATTATTTGTTTAGAAGAACACTCTAAGATTAAAATGTGTATATTTATTTTTATGTTTGTGTTTCTTATTAAATAGTGGGTGACTTTTACTACATAGTTTACATAAAAGGAATCAACACAGTAAAGGAGGAAACTATATTTAAAAGAAGAAAAACTAACACCACAAGAGGACATAGTCTTAAATTAGAGGGGCAAAGGTTTCAGAATAACTTCAGGAAGTATTACTTTACTGAGAGGGTAGTGGATGCATGGAATAGCCTTCCAGCTGAAGTGGTAGAGGTTAACAAAGTAAAGGAGTTTAAGCATGTGTGGGATAGGCATAAGGCTATCCTAACTATAAAATAAGGCCAGCGACTAATGAAAATTGGGCAGACTAGATGGGTTGAATGGTTATCTGCCGTCACATTCTATGTTTCTAGTTTTCCTTTAATCACTTCTCTACCTAAATTGAGCATTAGCAGTTTAATTTTCATGTAATTTGCAGGATAAAATCTAGTCCATAAAGCCTCACTCATTTTAATTTATTATCTAGTTATGATTACCAGCCTGTAGAGGAAACATTTCTCTGATAGAAGCCACTAGTCACTGATATAATGCCAAATTTTCAAAAAATTTAAGCTCACCCCAAACTTTCAAGCATTAAAGGAAGTTTTGATGGGACATACTATTCCTACAGTCAGGGAAGGGGGAAGAGTGAATTGAATCTACCATGTAACTGTTAGCATTACATTAGCAGTTCCAGAGATTGATAAATATTGCTATAGTGGTATTAAATAAATTTAATTTAGAAATATATGATTTAACTGCATTTACAGTATGTGGGGATAATATTCATTCTTTTCATACCCTGTTTCCATTTTTAGTAAGTTATAATGCAAATAATGCCTTTAGGGTTCTTACAAATACTTATAAGAAAGGTATTTGCCCATTTTACTTATCTATATATCAACTGTGTGTTAGAAAATGCATCTTTGCTTGGGTATTTAAAATTTCAGACCATGTGTAAAATATTGCAAGATAAAGGAAACTGTATACTGTCCAAAGCTTTTCATTTCCCAAATATTTTTTATAAAATTGTATACATTTGCATAATTTTAATTTTTACATCTGTCTGCAAAGCAATATATACACACGATTAATGTGCTGTGATATATTCACATGCTAGCTATGCATTCCTTGCTTTAAATACATGCTATGCTAATATTTGTAAATCAAAAAGTGCTCAGTAGTGAAGTGGCTAATATAACATCAAGTTAGCATGTATGGCCACTAACTTCAAAAGTAACTTAAGCATAGTGTTGCACGATTCAATCTAAAATGACTTTTAAGTTACGTTATGGTAAATGTATCAGTAAATTCAAGGCAACAAGTGAAGGCGTGCAAACCTGAGCGCTGGTATTTCTGCAGAGCTTCTTGTAGATTTGATCGATAGCTATAGAAACATGCTCAAAACACTTGCTAAAAAGCTCATATCTCTTCTGTTTCACCTGCTCAAATTCATGTCTACACATCCTGGCTCTCATTCTGCTGGCCTCAAAAGCTATGAAAAAATAAACAAACTGATTGTAAGATAAGGACAGATAACAAATGGCAGATTGCAACTAATCAGAGAAACTCACTGTATAATACATCATATATAAACATTGCTATTCCAGTCTGTCAGATTTAGTTGAAATCTGTGTGTTTGGGCTCCTAGTTTTGGCTCATTACTAATTATACCTGGGAACTCTGTAGCTATGTCTGACTGTCTTATTGGCTCTAAAAGGAACATCTTCAATAGCTAATGTCACATGCTGGCTATCACTAGGAATTGGTAACAGGATTACTGTGATAGGTAGGCATCACTGAATGACCTGTCCGTGTACTGATGTTGTCTAAATAGTCTGGCTGCAGTGAGTGTAAAACAGAGTATATTTGTAAACTTACATAGTTCAGGTAGCAACAAGATTTTAACTTTTGCTTATATCACAGGATCAAAATTTAAAATTAATGTTTAAAGTTACTTCCCAAACCAGAGGTGCCTCACTTCATAGTGATGCAATTGTATCCCACAACTCCTGGAGTGCAGCAACATTCTAAAAATCTTGGCTTTGAGCATTATTTGGGGGTTATGCTGGCTGCATGTACCTTAGTCTCACCCATTCCAGGACGTCACACTGGATGGGGAAGAAGGGATCTTCAGTCAAGTGTACATTGTAACCAATGAGTGACACAAGGATGTCCAATGCATTTCAAGACAATAAGATGGCACCAAAATTATTATTTTATACATTTGCCGACGATAACAGTAGCACAACATATACATTATATCTATACCTTGATGAATGTAACTTGCCTTCCTGGCATTAGGACATTACTTCAATCCATGATATGTAGATGGCGGAACTGCACTCATCCCACCGCCATGGAATCTCAGGGTGCTCCCGGATCAGTCCCAGTACCAAAGAGACCACGTGTAACATATAATAGAAGAACTATTTCTTGGAGGGACATCGGCGCTGGATACAGGTAAGTCACTGAAGGGTTCTTAACCCCTTCAGCAACATGGGGTGGGAGGGAGAGGGGACCTGCAGTGCCAGGAAAACTGTTTTTTTTTCCTGTCACTGGAGAGTCCCTTTAAGGTTAAAGGCACTAATCACATGAAATCACCTCAAAGCCACAGGTTTTTCCAAACATAGAAAACAGTATTACAAATTATGAGGTATTTTTAAGGAGATAAGACGTGATTTAGTTCTTATGTATTTTTTTTTACAATATGTTATCTGTTGCTTAAGATATAACTTTATTTAGCAGAGACTTTCAGATATACTGATTATAACAAATATTATTTTTAGGCCTTTCTTAGCCCTGAAAATCCAGAAGAACCTTATCTGGAAGGAACTGGAAGGTTCTTGGGTCCAATAAAAGGTGCCTATTGGTTTGGAACAATTTGGAGTGCCTGGATAATTTTCTTCTATTATATATTACTTCATTCCATGACAGGAAGAAGGGAGAGATCTCAGGGACATTGCATCACACATGGTGTCATGTCATGACATCACATAGGATTATCAAGAATTCAAAATAAATTTTGTATTTGGGTAAAAATAGCCAAACTGCAAACATGGCTGAATTGGAGAATTTATTTTTTTCTAGTTTGTCTATTTTGTCCTTAAATTTGAAATGCACTCTGAATCCATTTTGAATTCCTAGCAATTCTCAGTTTGGTGAGTCTGGAAGCATCATCTGACAATCTCAGCCTATCACTGGCAGCCATTTGAGAGAAATGGTACATTTATTTTATCCTCTTATATTCATATATGGACGTTACACAGTTTATTTCTATGTATAAACAGAATACTTGACACAAAATAAATATTGGGCTTTTTCCAGTGTCTTATCAGAATGTGTGTGTGTGCACATGGTCCACATGATTGTTTGCAAAAAGCTCTCAAAATCATTAAATGGAACTGAGAATGTAGTATCTAATATATATTTATATTTAAAGGGACACTCCAGGCAGATAAACAAGTTAAGCTTACATTAACGGTAAAAATACCAGTGATTAGTTTCTTCTCTTTAAATTCTGTGTGGTTTTCCTGCAGTGCTGTAAAATGTTTTGCCTACCCACTGTTAACCCCTTCCCTGCCAGCCCGTCAGCCAACCTCACTACTCACTGTTAACCCCTTCCCTGCCTGTCCCAGTCAGCCAACCACCCTACCCACAGTTAACCCCTTCCCTGTCAGCCAACCTCACTACTCACTGTTAACCCCTTCCCTGTCAGCCAACCTAACGACTCACTGTTAACCCCCTTCCCTGTCAGTCCCAGTCAGACAACCTCTCTACCCACTGTTAACTCCTAGATAGATAGGTAGATATATAGAGATAGCTAGAGAGAGAGAGAGATAGCTCTTTAGATATTTATGAATGCTTCTGTCTCTTTATATTTATTTATTAATAATATTCATATGACACTTTATGATTTCTTATGTGGTGAGGAAATGTTTGTGTGATGTTGTTTGTAAGTTCTAGAGTCTGAATGCGGAGAACTCCGAGGAGGCTTGGGCAGGCATTGTGGGCATGTGTTGAGCTGAGTGAAACTCAGGCACGCCCAGTAAGGTGTGTCATTACGGTTTCTGATAGAGGATCACGGGAGCATGGCCATTGGTGGACACACAGTATGGGCGTGTCATTACTGATTCTCATAGAGAATCAATGGAGCATGGCCACTGGTGGACAGTCTGGCTGAAACACAGGAAGCAAGGAGAAAGCAAATGGGGAAATTACATTAAATCAGAGAAGCAGCAGAAAATCTGATCAAAGTAAAGATGAAAACAGGTACTTCTGAAGCTTATTTTTACACTTGTGACTAAGGTAACCTCGCCACTGTTTCTTGGAGGGGCCTGTTTGCCAGCCTCCTGCCTCAGTACTATGGGCCATGCAAAAAGGCTCATAAAAAATTTTGTTCATGACTTTCTGTTATCCTGTTCGGGAACCGAACAGATAGACGACTCAAGGACCACCCGGGAGCTTTTTAAGCCCTATCACCTCCTCTTAACGATTCTAACCGCAGCGGTCGAATTATTCGTGTGGGTGGCCGCAGTTCGTATGGTCGACCACGAGGTGGCGGCCATCTTGTTCCTGCGAACGCAGGCAGCAGTGTTTGGTCGTCACTGAAACTCCCGAACACCGCTGGTCTTCCTTCATAGCCTACGTGCGGTACTTTACTTTTTCGAAGCTGTTTGGTGTAATCGTTCCTCTGAATGAGGTGAATAAGCTCCACGGTATTAATACTGACTACGTTCAGTATTTGTTTGTTTGGAAACTACTGAACTAGACCAACCGCAAGCCCTGATTCTCTGGAACTATTTTGGGCATGGGATCATGCATGCGGATGGTCAAATTATGACTTCCAGGAAATTCCTGAACCCCTGAACTGATCTGGGTGATTTTTGAATATGTTGGTCACACAGGTCAGGGCTATTATGGGGTTATTATGTATTTTAACCCCTTAACGCCGTTCTATGCCGTCCCGCATTAAATGGGCTTTAAAGCCATTGCGGCGGCATAGAACGCCGTAACGGCTGCAGCCCCCAGAGTGCCTGGGATACTTACTCCGCCGCGATCCTCTTCGGGAGGACTGCCTGACAGCCCTCCCACGGCAAAAGAAGCCCCCGGGGGCCATGTGATCGCTCTCAAAGAGCGATTACATGGCCCCCTATAGCTGACTGTGGATCTGCCAGCAGGGGGACTGTCTAAAATGTCAGACAGTCCCCCTGCTGGTGGGAGATGTAAAAAAAATATATTAGACGTGTAAAATTAAAATAGAAATGTATTTATATATATTATTTATTTATTTTATTATATATATGTAACGTCATACAAAGTGTATTTTAATATTAATATAAGTACATAGATTATTATTAAAATAGACTTAGAATGATGCTACATATATATTATATATACACATATATTATATATATACACGTATAATTACAATAATAAATAAATAAAATATTGAAACAAAATTTAATATAAATAATATATTCATATGTAATTTCAGTTTTAACTGTATTTTGCTATTAATATATATATATATATATATATATATATGTAACAAAATCCACTTAGAATTACAGTATATATATATATATATATATATATACATATAACTACATAAAAGATTACATTAGTATACACGTAGAATTTAAATACCTATAAATGCATATGTATTAAAATTCTACATGTATATTTAAGTAATCTTTAACATAATTATGTGATTTGATTAATTAAAATTTGATTGACATGCCTGACAACACAGGGAGAAAGTGCAGAGAATTTAATTCGCAAGCACTATATTTGATCCTGTAAGGGCACTGTTTTACTCGGGAGACTTCGCTGAACTGAAATATTAGTGTTTCAAACTGATAAATTGTATTACAACGCTGATATTTAAAGTAAAAGTGAAGTTTTTTGCATTTTTTTTACAAACGAACAGCACTTTTATGGATTATATTATTGTTGTAATATGTTTTACTGTTTTAAAACACTAATATTTGCGTTTAGTGAAGTCTCCTGAGAATAACAGTAACCCCCATGTACAGGTTTTATGGTGTTTTGGAAAGTTAGAGAGTCACATATAAGGCTTGCATTTCATTTTTTTTGACATTGAAATTTGCCAGATTGGTTATGTTGCCTTTTTTAGAGCATATGGTAGCCCAGGAATGAGAATTACCCCCATGATGGCATACCATTTGCAAAATTAGAAAACTCAAGGCATTGCAAGTGGGGTATTGTCCAGTCTTTCTTAGTAGCCACTTAGTCACAAACACTGACCAAATATTAGTTTTTTGCTTTTTTACACAAAAACAAATATGAACGCTAACTTTGGCCAGTGTTTGTGACTAAGTGGCTACTAAAAAAGACTAAACATACCCCACTTTCAATACCTTGGGTTGTCTACTTTTTCAAATGGTATGCCATTATGGGGGTAATTCTCATTCCTGGGCTACCACACCATCTCAAACGTAACATTACTAATCTGGCAAATTTCAATTTCAAAAGGGAACGTTCTATATTTTACCCTGTAACTTTCCAAAACACCATAAAACCTGTTAATGGGGAGTACTGTTGTATTCGTGAGACATCGCTGATTACAAATATGTGCATTTTTTTGCAGTAAAACCTAACAGTATTAGGACATTCACAGCTAAAATTTGTAGAAAATGATCAAGGCACTCCAATAGTTTCCAATTGTTAAGGCAATTTATTTGGACCAGGAACTACAAAGCAACGTTTCAGCCCCAACAAGGCTTTTTAAAAAAAAAAAAAAAAGTCCTGTTTGGGCTGAAACATTGCTTTGTAGTTCCTGGTCCAAATAAATTGCCTTAACAATTGGCTTAACAATTGGAAACTATTGGAGTGCCTTGATCATTTTCTACAAATTTATCCGCTTGGTCCTTTTGGGTACTGGGACTTTTTCAAGAGCACCCTGGATTCCCTAGTGAGGAGCTGAGTGCACTTCCAGCTTTGATTATACGATTCACAGCTAAAATGTCAGACGGAAATACGAATTTTAAAAAATATATCTTATTTTCTCACATTTTTTTTTAAATTTAATTCATAATAAATTATGTTCCATATATGAATAGTTAATGATAAAGTAAAGCCCTGTTTCTCCTGAACAAAATGATATATAATAAGTGTGTGTGCACTTAATGTGACAGCGGTGAATTATGGTTAAACAGACATATAGCACAAATTCCAGTTTTTGTTTATGTTTTGTTTTGATCAGAACTTTCACTATCGACTCCGTCCTGAAGGGGTTAAGGTACTTTTGGGGTGTTTGTGATATGTGTGTTTTTTGTGTCTGGAGATAATTGAGTTTAGTTCAGTTCATGACTCAATTATCTCCCAGGCACAGGGGAGGGATTGTCTTATTATGTATGGGAGTGTCCTGGATCTGAGAGCCAATATAATCGTGTGTTTTTTTCTGCTGTGGTTTACACTCAGGTCCAGGGGGGAGTGCCTCTTGCATTGGGACTTGCATATAAAGCCAGTTCTGTCTACCAATAAACGTGTTCCTCTTCACCCTCAACATAGAGCCTCGTCTCATGTGTGGAAGAAATAGCTATATTCACTCTGGGGGTTGCTATATTACTATACTCCTCTGGGATTATAATCACTTGCTTTTTTAAGAACATATTGCTACACTCTCTAGTAGGAGAGGTCTAACCACTGGAAGCTGGATCCTGGTCTTGGGTCCAGGGTGGATGAAGGACGTTGAGACCCCAGCCAAGCTGCGGCAGCTAAGGGTCTACGGTGCGATGCTTATGGTACTTCAGGCTACTAGGTAGCAGCGACTGGCAGAGGCACCCAGTCGGGGTGCCAGGCGGTCCGTCACAACACTATTTAGAGAAAAGGCATTTAGCGACTCTAGGTTTACTGTTGGGGGCGGGGGATTGGCTATTTTCTTTTACCTATACAGTTCCTTTAAGTTAAAAATCCTGGTGCTGTTTTATAAAAAAATGCGATGAAATTTAAAACAATTGATACGCCTTGCCAAACTGTCAACTTAACAGCTTAATATAACAAATACAAAATATTTAAAGGGTTACAATAGAGGAGGGACCTTTATGGCATAATATGCACTACAGTGCACTATGGGGAGGGCCCCCCTCTCAATTTGCAGTAAAACATGCAAAAAAAAAGGTTTTACTTACATTGACTCCAGCGCCGGGCAAAGGTCCTGGTGCTGCTCTTCGGCACCCCTCTCTCAACGTCACTGGTGCCACGCACAGTCCAATCACAGGTATGAGAACTCAGACTCCACTAACTGACATCTAATATCCAGTAGTCGTGACAACAGGCTACTTATAGAGAAGCCTGTGAATAGATAATTTTGCCTGTTCAGAGAGCATGCGCGTACTCTGAGCAGGCGAGGGGAGTGGAGATGAGGGAGGGCTTTAAATAAAAAGATGAATGTGCACTGAGGCAGGTGGGAGGTAGCACAATGTGGAAGGAAGCGAGAGCAAGCTTTTCCTTGCATTTAAACACAAAGCCCGGCACAGAGTTCTGGGCTGCCCAAGTCACGTGTACTGGGTGTGCAACTAGCCTCCAGCACACAATTAACAATATCTCTGTATGTGCAATGTTTCAAGCAGAAACAAGGCACATACTGAATCCTACGACCATGACCACTTCAAATCACTGAAGTGGTCATGGTGGTTGGCGTAATCCTTTAAGCACCAATTAAAAGAACATTAAAACACACACAAAACCAAGAAATAAAATTAAAAGGAAATATAAAAACAACTGTGTCTATCCAGAGTTCTTACATTAACAGCACAAAAATGCTGCACATTTTTGTATTATGCTAATTTATTGATGAAGGCATTGTTTATTGAACAGAATGTTAAAATTCTAGAATCAGTCTCTGGCAATTGTCACATCTGGTGGTATGGAAATATACAGAACTTGAACAAAATCTATTTTTGCCCAAACATGTCAACTAGACACCATACTTTTTTAGTGAAGAGATTACGTATGGCCATAATGAAAAGATCATTTAAAATATGTCAACCGGCCCCTAATCATCCTACCATTTAAAGCAGACTGTTATTATACCTAGAGTAATGTGTTCCAAACAAGGAAAAATATGCGATAGCAGTTTTTAATTTTAGAATTTTTAAATATTCACTGTATCGTGCTAAATGGGTTGATGATCTCTATGTTGAAAAATTGTTACTTTAGAGGAAAAATTACACAGACTCTCCATGGAAAATAATATTAAGCTGAAACTGTTATTTACCATCGGCAGTTTCTTGAAACTTATTCCTGACGATTTGTAGCTTTTCTAATGCTTTTAGGTTTGGAGCAGACGTCTTGAGTAATGTATTTTCATGTGTTATACATTCCTGACGCAGTTTCGTAAGTTCAGCACCAATCTCCTTATCACTCATAGCACGCTGTTTGGAAAGGGAGTAAACTTTCATATATACCATCACATATTCAACGGTTCCCAATAATTAAGCAGCTGTGAACAGTTGTTTTATGATAATTACTTAAAATAGAGAACAATGTATAATTCCCTAGATAAGACATATTCTAGTTATTAGTTTATTATTCATTAACTGCACTTTGACAGTTATTATGAAATATACTTTTCAACTGCACAAAAGATGAAATGACTACTAAAGAATATTACCCATTTTTTTATTCCATGTTCCTGTTATTTCTCATTAAACACAGAACTGTAAAAATAACTGCAAATATTTCTATTGTTTTATTTTTTGTGGCCCAAATTTTGCAACTCTAATTTAGTAAATAAAACCGTTCTGTCTGTAAGGCACTATAATAACTGACAGTAACAGACAGACTCAGGTGTGAAACTTCTGTTCTTTTGATTTGAGAAATTAAAGGGAAATAAGAGTCTAAAAGTTAACCTATTTCTTTAGATAATGAAAGCAATGCATTAAAAAAAAAGGCAGGATCTTTTCGCTGACCACTCAGAAACAAACAGGAAGTAGATGTCAGTCAATCAGCATTCTCTCCTATAAGTATACGGGAGTGAAACATGAATCACGATTATGTGCACACTGTCAATGCTTTCCTAGAAAATCCACTGAGATATATGCAGGCGTGCAAGATGAGTTGTATTTAAGCCAATGATAGCTTTTCAGAATGAATTCCGTTTTCTACTATTGATGTACATTAAGTGGTCTTACCTTAAAGGGACACTATAGTCACCAGAATAACTACAGCAAGCATGTCAAATATTTGACATGCTTACTAAAGCAGAGTGGGCATCTCTTCTCCCCACATTGCAGGTGCCTACTCTGCTCATTTACACGGCCGCGGGAGAGGTCTCTGGCGGTAGAGAGGGAGCTCAGTCTTCTTGCTCCTCACGTGCCGTCTGAAGTGAAGCCGGGTGCCGGAATATGACGTCATATTTCGGCACCCGGCATCACTAAGCTGCGCGCGCGGGAGCAAGAAGACTGAGCTCCCAAGAGAAGATCAGGGAGAGGTCCCACACCAGCTCCCAAAGCTAGGGAGTAATGAATGCAATGATGTGAGTGTGTGCCAGATTGTTAAAGTGTGTGTGACTGTCACTGTGTATGTGTGACTGTCATTGTGTGTGACTGTCACTGTGTGTGTGTGTCTCTCTGTCTGTTTGTCAGTGTGCGGACAGTGGAGAACCTGGCGGGGCACGCAACGCCACATTCTGACGTGACGTTAACGTGCTCCACCTTCACAGGTTTTCAAGGAGTAGCAGGAGGATCGGTTTGGCACAGGATGCGGACAGCGCCATTGGGGGTATACCACGGGCTGGACTCCGGAGTCGCATACTGGCAGCGGCAATGTGAGTGAAATTTGCTTGTTGGCTAATATTGCTTTTTGGGGTTTACTAGAGGGGAGTGCTGGGATTTAGTATAGAGGGGGTGCGGGGGAGACTTTGAATTAGTACAGAGGGAGGGACTGATATTTAGTACAGAGGGGAGACTGGGGTTTAGTAGAGGGGATGCTGTTTTTTTTAATTCTGTACTTTTTAAAACAAACCTACGTTTCTATGAAAATTTAAGGTTTTTTATTTTTTTTTGCAGCCCACATAAACTTAAACCTTGTTTATGTGGCCTGTGCTAGCCTTTGAGTTTGACATGCTTGAACTACAGCTTAATGTAGTTGTACTGGTGAATATAATCATTGCCTGCAGGCATTTTAATCCAAACACTGACTTTTCAGGGAAAAGGCAGTGTTTACATTGCCCCCTAGGGACACCTTCAAGTGGCCACTCCTCAGATGGCCACTGGAGGTGCTTCCTGGCTCAGTGCTGCACAGAAGGCAGCAGTACGTTCAGTGTCTCCACTCTCTGCATGGGGATGCTGAATTTTCCTTATAGAGATGCATTGATTCAATACATCTCTATGAGGAGGTGCTGATTGGCTAAAATGGTGTTTAGCCCCGCCCTTATCCTGCCTCCTTGCCAATTTCAGTCTATGGGAAAGCACTGGATTGGCAAAAATCTGCATTTCTGATATCACCAAGGAGGTGGATCTGAGGCAGGGCCAGCATCGGTGGACATGCGCGGCGCTGGGAATAAGGTGAGTTTTCACCTTTTCTAAGGGGGCCAGGCCACCTAAATGGTGGATTAAACAATACATGTATTCCTGACCCTTTAGTGTTCCTTTAAGCGTTAATAAACATGTAAGATGCACAGATGATCGGAATGTCTCTTTACACATTAATGTACTTCATAACAAAGTATTTTTGTTTGCATAATGTAACATTTTATTGAACCAGTAACATTCTCCAACGCAACATTAACCAATGAAAAGACAAATGTAAAAGGACTACCTTTAGCTCATTGGGAAGTTTGCTATAGTCTAAGACAATGTTCCCTTCTCTTTCATAAATATCTGCAGTTCTTTGAGTGCTTTCAGATTCCAGCTGCAAAATAAAAAAAAAATCTTTAAATAGAAATGCAAGCATTTACACACAATGACATGCACACACAGACTCGTCAAATTACGTCAAGTTATACATTTCACTACCTCGATTTCAGTAATATCATCCAGTGAGCCAGTCACGATAGTTATTTGTAAATCTTGAACTTTGCAATCCAGAAGCAAATTATGCCTTTCCAATCTTTTCTGTTCTAGCAAACTTTCTATCACCATAGATTCCTTCTGTCGCTTTCCAATTTCCCTATAGAAAGCAAAAATGTTACTATTTGAAAGCTTTCTCTCCAGATAGATATTACAAAATGACAATAGTTCAATATTCACCCCCAAGCATTATTCCTGTTTCCTTATAATTGGCACACACAAAAAAAAAAAAATCACTATTCTTATTTTTTTATATTTACGTATGTGCAAATGTCAACCTTTACCATTATGGTAAGAAACATTAAAGTGAATTTTAGTATGCTGTATTTCAGGAAAGCCCAAATGCACAGAATACAGATATCTACATATTTAAACATTTGAAATAGATTTCTTTAAATCCGAATTGTGAGTTTAACCAAAAGCAGCAATATAGCAAAGAAGGGCAAACTCCCAAAGTCCACAAAAACCCAGACACATCCGGGAGTTTACTCACGTAGGCAGTATTTTATTAAGGGACAGTGCACCGCAGCACTTACTTGAGCCTTTTTTAAGCTTAACCCCTTAAGGACCAAACTTCTGGAATAAAAGGGAATCATAACATGTCACACATGTCATGTGTCCTTAAGAGGTTAAAGGGACACTTTAGTCACCAGAATAACTTTAGCTTAATGAAGCAGTTTTGGTGTATATCATGCCCCTGCAATCTCAATGCTTGATTCTCTGCCATTATGGGCAGGATCTTTTTGCTGACCACTCAGAAACAAACAGGAAATAGATGTCAGTCAATCGGCATTCTCTCATATACACTGAACAAAATTATAAACGCAACACTTGTTTTTGCCCCCATTTTTCATGAGCTGAACTCAAAGATCTAAGACTTTTTCTATGTACACAAAAGGCCTATTTCTCTCAAATATTGTTCACAAATCTGTATAAATCTGTGTTAGTGAGCACTTCTCCTTTGCCGAGATAATCCATCCACCTCACAGGTGTGGCATATCAAGATGCTGATTAGACAGCATAATTATTGCACAGGTGTGCCCTAGGCTGGCCACAATAAACTATAAAGAGTTTCAGTAGTATCATCATTCTAGAATGCTGCCGAGGTAAGCGCTGTGTTGCAGCTCAAAATTTTTTGAATAAAGCCAATGTAATGTAAAGCTGCAAATGAATAGACCGCTTTCAGGATGATGTCATATCCAGCGGCTGAAGATTCTGATTGCCATAGAAATAAAGAAAGCGCTTATAGGAGCCCCAGTCTCCTCTCACATGCATAGCCAATCTTAACAACAAAATACAGAAATATAAAGAAAGGGAGAAATTACAGATGACACAATAATAACCATATATAAGCTTTCAGTTTCTCTGTTAACCCATGAAGGACGGCAGGCGTGCTATGCCGTCCTTAGGGACCCGGCTCTAAACGCCATAGGGGGTCTTGCCTGGCATCCCAGGGAGTCCCCCTGCTGCCGATCCGGCCCTCCTAGGCCATGTGATCACAAGGTCCTTGCGAGGACCTCACGATCACATGGACGGAATAGCGTCCATAGCAGTGCCAGCAGGGTGAGTGCCTTGAATGACAGGTAGTTCCCCTGTTGCCTGTAATAAAATTAAAATAAAGTTAAAAACTGTTTTGAATTCAATAATATAAACTTGGATCATATATAGATATATACACTTTCACATACATACACTGTCTAAGTGTATTTTAATATATATATAATTATATATATTAATATCACAATAAACATAGAATGATATCGATTAAATATATATAAATATATATATATATTTATATATAATATAAAATAAATATGTTTTAAAAAAAAGAGTAATTTCGTTCTAATTGTATTTTGATATTAATATATATATTTATATCAATACGGTCTCAAAGGTAACATAACCAATCTGGTGAATTTCAATGTGAAAAAAAATGAAAAATGTAACATGCTATATTTGACCCTTTAACTTCCCAAAACACCATAAAACCTGTACATAGCGGGTACTGTTTTACACGTGAGACATCGCTGAATACAAATATGTGTATTTTATTGCAGTAAAAGCAAAAATTATTATGACATTCACAGTTAAAATGTCATGTAGAACTAAAAAGAATAAAATTTCTTATTTTCTCCCATTTTTAAAATATTTTATTCATATTAAATTATGTTTAATAGCTAAATATTTGATGTTAAATGAAAGCCATGTTTCCCCTGAATAAAATTATATATAATAAGTGTAGGTGCACTTAATATGAAAGAGGTGAATTACAGTTGAACAGACATATAGTCAAATTCCATGTTTTGTGTACATTTGGCTCAGTCCTTAACCCCTTAAGGACCGAGGACGGTTCAGGACCGTCATCGGCATTTTTGCCTTGCCGACCGATGACGGTCCTGAACCGTCCTAACGGTCCAATGTACTTACCTGATCGCCGTCATTCCCCCGGCGGCGATCAGCGGTGCTCCCGGTGTGGGGAGACTGCCTGCAGCCCAGACAGTCTACCCACACTGAATTAGGACCCCTGTGGCCATGTGATCGCTTAACACAGCGATCACATGGTCACAATAGGTGTCCATGTGTCTGCCTGCAGGGGGACTGCCTGTGCTGACAGGCAGTCTCCCTGCATGTGTAAAATCAAAAAAAATAAGTAAAGTTAGGGTTTATAAAAAAATAAAAAAATTATATATGTGTCTATATATCATATATATAATGTCATACTAAGTGTATTTTTATATTAATATGTACTTATTAAATTACACACGTATATATATATAATATATATAATAACTATATATATTGTATATATATTATTATAAAATATAAATAATAAGTAATTTAAATAAAAAAAATTTAAATAATAAAAATTAAAAAAAAATCTATATCTAAATGAAATTTTATTATAACTGTATTTTTAAATTAATATATATATATATTTATATCAAAATACACTTAGAATGAATTTGTATATATGTACAAGTTTTATAGCATTTTTGAAAGTTACAGGGTCAAATATATGGGTCAAATATTTTTACACTGAAAATGGCCAGGTTGGTTACGTTGCCTTTGAGAGTGTATGGTAGCCCAGGAATGAGAATTACCCCCATGATGGCATACCATTTGCAAAAGAAGACAACCCAAGGTATTGCAAATGAGGTATGTCCAGTCTTTTTTAGTAACCACTTAGTCACAAACACTGGCCAAAATTAGCGTTCAATTTAGTTTTTTTTTTACTTTTTTCACACACAAATAAATATGAATGCTTACTTTGGCCAGTGTTTTCGACTAAGTGGCTACTAAAAAAGACTGGACATACCCCATATTGAATACCCTGGGTTGTCTACTTTAAAAAAAAATATGTACATGTGGGGTGTTATTCAGAGATTTATGACAGATAATAGTGTTACAATGTCACTATTGATAAATTTTAAAAATTTATGTTTTGAAACCGCAATATCCTACATGTACCTATAGCCCTATAACATGCAAAAAAGCACGTAAACACTGGGTATTTTTAAACATTCGCTTTTGTAGATGAGTAGATGATTTTTCAAGTAAAAGTCAAAAAAGATGTATTTTTTTCAATTTTTCATCATTTTTTTTATTTTTTTTAAATTAAAATACACGAGATTATATAAATAATGGTATGTAAAAAAAGCCCCTTTTGTCCTGAAAAAAACAATATATAATTTGTATGGGAACAGTAAATGAGAGAGCGGAAAATTACTGCCAAACACAAACACCACAAAAGTGTAAAAATATGCCTGGTCGCAAATGTACAACATCGTAAAAACAGTCCAGTCCTTAAGGGATTAAAGGACCACTCTAGGCACCCAGACCACTTCAGCTTAATGAAGTGGTCTGGGTGCCAGGTCCCTCTAGGATTAACCCTTTTTTTTTTTTTTATAAACATAGCAATTTCATAGAAACTGCTATGTTTATAAATGGGTTAATCCAGCCTCTAGTGGTGGTCTCATTGACAGCCGCTAGAGGTGTTTACGTGCTTCTCACTGTGAAAATCACAGTGAGAAGACGCCAGCGTCCATAGGAAAGCACTGTAAATGTTTTCCTATGAGACTGGCTGAATGCGCGCGCAGCTCCTGCCGTGCATGTGCATTCAGCCGAAGAGGAGGATCGGAGGCAGAGAGCTCCCCGCCCGGCGCTGGAAAAAAGGTAAGTTTAACCCCTTTCCTTGCCACCCAGCCTGGCGGGAGTGGGACCCTGAAGGTGGGGGCACCCTCAGGGCACTATAGTGCCAGGAAAATTAGTATGTTTTCCTGGCACTATAGTGGTCCTTTAAGGGGTTAAACAATTTCAAACAAACAAATATAATAAGAACCACATGTCCCACACTTGCAGCTATAATAAATCCAAAATATAAGATTTTTGCAATGGCAGGTGAAAACTGAGGAAAAATAGATCTGAAGCTGTGTTGAATATAATAAAAATGTACACGTGTCAAGTGTGAAACTAAAAAAATTAAAGTGACAGTGCTATGAATGATACAATTTAATCATGTCAAAATCAATATGACTTTTACATCCGTTACAAATATATTTCCAATTTCTTTATGTTGTATATATATTAATCATTAATATTACTAATGTAAAAAGGTATAATTTTCTATCATTGTCTTTCTCTGGGTCGATTAATTTTTACACAACGGGATATTGCACACTCACTCCGTCTCAACGACTTTTATTTATGCACTTTTTGATGCCTTAGTCACTTTTCAGCTGTAAGCATAGTCATTTCATCATAATGTTTTAGGACCTTAATACACTTTATATACATTGATCTTTTTTTGTCACTTTTATTTTATTTTTTTAATGTATATAACATAAAGAATTGGAAAAAACACACCACAAGGCACTGACCAGGTTTTTAGAGGTGATATACTAGCTAAAAGTAGTCAGAATGGTCTGAAATAATACAATTAATTCATGAAAAGTTAGAAAATAAAATTTTTGTTTTGAACCAATTAATTGTTTAATTTTATATTCATAGTGTTTAGTTCAGTTTACAGCTTTTACAATCTCCATTACCTGTTCACGCTTAATATTTTTTTTCGTGTCTCATCGACCTTTTTCTGGGCATCTGCAACTTCCGCTTTTTTGAAGGTAAAGGTATTTTTAAATTCCTGCAGCTGTCGTAAACCTTCATCCACCAGAGCCATAGCACGTGCTTCCTCCTATTTTGGATTAATCGAAACGTTATATGCATTTTGAAAAAGAGTGTGAACTAATTTGGATCATTCTCTCTATCCTGCATAGATGTTCTATTGTTCTGACCTATACACACTAATATTTCTAGTTCAGCTTCATAAGCGATGTACAGTGCCCTCCATTAATATTGGCACCCTTGGTAAATATTAGCAATGTAGGCTGAGAAAAATTGATTTTGCGGTTTAACCTTTTTACATATTGTTCAGAAAATACACAAAAATACTCTGCTCTTATGGCATCACGGACTCTATCAAATATCAACAGATATTAAAGAACACCTCACTGCATCTACCAGAAAGCTTAAAATGGACCGTGGTGGAACGGTGACGACAATGATCCAAAACATACATCAAAATCAGCATAAAAATGGTGAACTGAACAGGACAGTCCACCAGCAGTGAACTCGAAATTAAAATGGGTCTGGAAAGATTCTGTATGGAAAAATGGTCTTGTATCCCTTGTCATGTATTCTTTAACCTCATCTGGCATTATAGGAGAAGACTCAGAGCTGTTATCTTGGCAAAGATAGGCAGCACAAAATATGGACTAATTGGCTATAAGGGTGCCAATAATTGTCCCAAAGACTTATTTATTTTAATAAACATGTGTTGTGTTTGCAATTGTTTAATATCAATGAGAATTTTTTAAAACAAAAGGTCTTCTTTGTTCATATTTACCAAGGGTGCCAATATTAGTGGAGGGCATAGTATATGTGGATTACAGGTGTGTAGTGACACAGAGAGGCATCCCTTCTTCAAACCAAGTCATTCTGCTCTGCTACAGACTGCGATTCAGCATACAATGCCTTATCTTCGCAGCTGTGGCTGAGGAACAGTGTCAAAGTTTTCTCTGTCTGCCATCAGATTTATAAGGAACCCTAAATATGGGCAGATCAGCTACCACCCATGTAACATCCATATAAAGTATGGCTCAACACAGATATGGAAAAAACCTGACACTGAGAATTCCTGCTCCTGTCACTCAGATGATATCTTTCAGTCACCCCTAATGGCCCAATGGTACGAAAACACACAGCTTGTGCCATTCATGCTATGGTTGCAGAGACAGATTTTCTGCTCCCCTTTCTTCCTGCATCCTGACTGACAACCATGGGTCAATGCAATATGGCATTATTTCCTCCTACCATTTGAACAGAATGCAATCTGGGAAACTAGGGGCTGAAAGGCCAGCTCTGCTGCTGGAGTGTGCATGTGTTTGACAGTGTGCAGCTAATGGGGTATGTAAGTATTAGAGTGGCTTATTTGTAATGATTGTGCGTTAATTAGGTACATCTAAGAGTGAGATTGGCTTAGGGAGTATGTGTCGCTTATGAAAATATTGCCTGACTTTTCTCTTTTGGTCATGGCTAATAAAAGCAAATGGCATTTGTCAAACACTGAAATTAATGTATGAAACGAGGTTCAACAACCACTGGAAAAAGTTACTAGTCAGGAAGGTAAAAGTTAATTGTCAAACCATTTTCAATTAAAGTAAAAGGAAAGCAGATTTTTGCTATTGCTACTTTTCTTAGTTGTCATAGACAATTGGCTAGTGAAAATTCAGGCCTGTCCATATATTTACAACAGTGAATGATCACAATTTTGGCACCCATTAAGAATGGTAAAGCTGAAGTGATAAATTCAAAACAGCATGTGGCATTGATAAAAGGCCAGCATCCTTACACTGCCATTGGCACAGTTTTTAATGATGCCTCTAGTGTTATGGTATATTTACTGTTAAGGTGGTATCCTTCAAGTTGGTAATTAACCCAATACAGCCATTCTTTGTTTACACTCTACGTGTAATAGAAAGATTCCTGGCAACTTGAGAAGCTTGGACAAACCTTTGAGTTTGAGACCACGCAACTGCAAGCCCTATTCCCAGATGTATCAGTTAGACTGAGTGCTGGATCGTTCTTGGCCGGTAAGGCATTTATGCTGTTTTTGCACAGTCATATTTCTGTGCATTTATGTTTGTGAGTGTTCTTTTACCCTCTTTGATTGTGTGTTATTTGAGTAAATTTTCTGTGCCATAATGTTTCCTTGTTTTTTTACTCCCCTGTCCTTTTTGATTGTTTTGCGGTATGTATTAATCTAACAGTGGATTTGGTGGCCTCTGCTATCGTGTGCATTTCTTATGGCTTGCACTTATATTCTCTTCCAGCATTAATAAAGCTGTTACCTATGTAGTTTTTGGTCTTATGCTCCTTTATGAATAGAGCTGTTATAGTCACACAAAATAAAGCCCTGCACTTAAACTCCCACAACAGCTTAAATACATAAAACAAAACAAAGCACACAGTAAAAGGATGGTACACAGGTAACTGTTTTCCTGAGCTGTAATAGTGTTGCACTCATGTTAAGTGTAATGTTTTGGGGTATTTATCCAAGAGTACACAGCCTTATGTCTTGTTAAGCAACCTGAATAGCTAAAAAAATGACAATTAGCAAAGACTGTGTTCCTGTGGTCGTTCAGTTTACTGCACAAATTCCTACTTTTTTTAGCTTGGATATTTCTTCTTGTTCTACACGCAATGTCTCTTCTAGCTTTTCCACCTTCCTTCCTTCCTTCTCAAGTTGTCCTCGGCTGTATTCCAGCTGAATTCCTAAACGAGTCTTCTGATTTTCAAACTCCGATCTAAAATAGATAAATAATAAAATAGATAATATATAGAAAGTGAACAATTCCTTGCCAATGGGAAAATTGTGCATAGTGGCATTAAAGGATCACTATTTGGCACACAGAACACTTCTTCTCATATTGTCCTCATATTGTTTTATTTAAATGTGGTATTGGATCTGCATTATATATGACCAGTTTTGTCTTTGTCTTTGCCTGTCTTATCTATAAGGCTTTGCCTGTCTTATCTATAAGGCTTTTTAAGGCCGTTTTTGGACCATGACACCCACTTGATGGGACTTTAATGTTACTATATTATTGTGTTCTAGACGGCCTATTGATGAAATTTGAAATAGAACATTACACTTTTGTATGTTTAATGGGGATAGGAGTCCTTATTTTTTCTCTGTAAGGTTCCTTCCCCTAGGTGTTGTTATGTCTATTAATATTCTCATGAAAAATTTAATAAAAAGAATTAAACAAAAAAAAAAAAAAAAAACACTTCTTCTCAATGAAGTGGTCTGGAAGCAGTTGCCCTGTCGTTTTCGTCTTGCAAAATAAACAACTGCTGTTTTGTAGATACACTGCAGGGCTAACCCTCCTGAAGTGGGCGTCTCCCTGACAGTCAAAAGAGGGTGCCTGTGCTCATTTGACCAAGTCAGACATTCTACATGCTCACTAACGGCTTTAGGACCTTGAATGTCCTCCATTGCTTATCATAGGGAAGCACTGGATTAAATACTTCGCTATGAGAAGCATTTGACTGGGTGAGCCTGCCGCTTGCTGCACATGCACTTCTCGTCCAAAAATGTTCCACTATGAGAAGCTTTGGATTGGATGAGAAGACGAAGAGGAGACAACCTCCAGGAAGACGGCACGGGAAACTGAATGAACAGCCGCTTGATGTGAGTCTTGATGCTGAAAAAAAGAGTAAGTTAAACATTTTTAAAAAATATATATTTTAGGGGGGCCCTGAATCTAAATAGGGAGCAGAACACTTTAGCATTATAAAAAACACATACTTATATTCCTAATGCTGTAGTGCTCCTAATGTGGAGGATGCTGTAATTTGGGGGACCTGATTCAGGCATTCTCTGAGGTGATCTATGTCAGTGGGAGGTGATCCTGCTCAGTGTAGCGGTTATGGTAAAAAAGGGCCACCATCCCCCAACTCCTAAGAGTGGTTTGAAAAAAAGAAAAAAAAACAAGCTCTCAGAGACACCCAGAGAACTCCCCTTCACCAGCAGCATTGATAATGTAGAATTTACACATCATCATTAACATGTTAATTCAACAAACCTGGAGGGCAGAGTACTGTGAATAGGTTGGCAGACCATGCGACAGATGTCAAAGTGCCCTGACCAGGGGAGGTCTGGCAATTGAAGCAACTTCCCACTGGGAGGCCAGCACACAAGGATTGTGGGCTACAGATTGGTACCATTCTTCTGCTGATAAAATCTGAAGGTGGAGCGCTGGAATGTCTGTTGACAGAGTACTGAAAGACTGGGTTTTCACATAGGGATTGTGTTGGGTCTTAGCTATTCCAGACCCTCCCCGGGACTTGTATGGCCCGCCTCAATATGTTGTACCCATTTTAAACAACATAAAAGGCATATCAGGAAATAGAGTCTTCTTTAATTATACTGTATGAAATGTCCAGGATATGTCCAAAATAAACATATAATAGAGAAGGTGAAGCGTTATTTTCAAATGTTTGTGTAAGGAATAAAGAACCTAAAAAATACTTATATTACCTTGTGGTTTATTAATAGGATGTTCTCCATGTTTCACAATGCGTTCATGTAAAAAATATATGAAATATGATTGTTACACACACACTCACATTTACTAAAGCTTTTAAACCACGCTAGTATATTCAGCATATGTGACTTATATAGGTTGTCACCCACCTCTCCCATACGCAATAATTCCACTCTCCAGCATTCAATGACCAGCAAACTTATTTAACTCCAATAAAAATGAATACAATAGAATGTTTTCTGTAGGATTTAAACCATCTGCACTATATGTGCTTTGATTTTATATTTTACATGTACGCATTGTGGAACATGAATATCTTTAAAAAAACAAACACAAGGCAATATTATTTGGGGGTTCCTTATTAATTACACAAACATTTGAAAATAATGCTCCACTTTTTCTGTTATATATTTGTTTTCTATGCATGGTGTGTTGAACACACATGGGTGCACGGCACTAAGAGTCCTCTTAAAGGGGCTCCAGTTCTCCCAGCCCAAGCTGATGACCAAGTTGTTGTGTGTTCCAAACAGTCACTTTGGCGGATGGCTTTGTTTGATGAAATGTGATCGTTCACTGGTTGTAGTTAAAAGTGCAAGGGTTCACCTAAGATGTTTTGTGGATTAGAGATCCACTTTCAGAGGCTGGATCTCTAATGAATGAAACACGTTAGGAAAGTCCTCCCAGCCATTTAGCTTGAACTACACAGCCATCTCAGAGACCAGGAGATAGGGTTTTATTCCCCATTTGGCTTTTAAACCAATGTGAAATGTGAGTGTTTTTAATGTTGTCAAATAAAGTGTCTAATCATACAGAAAGCAAATAAAAAACTGCACTTTATGTTTTTAGGTATCCCGAGGCCACCAAGAGGATAATTTTATTACTACATTTGCTCAATTCTTTAAAAGTTATTCAGACATCCAGTGTAACTGGAAGGTATGCTAAGGACACCTAGTGAATATTTATATCATTACCCTTGACTAGATCATAGGTTATTTGTACCTACCTGTAAAATTTAATTTTAAGTATGATATAATTTTAGCAAACATGTTTGGGCTCAGCATACATTTACCGCATGGCTGCTTAGTTGTTGCAACGGCACCAAATTCGGGTGTGCTATATTTTGGACTTCATTTGGACCTTTATGGGACTTGGATTAGAGCACGTATGGTCTTATCTACCCTAGTTCATATATTGTTTTTTTAATTTATTCTTGTTTGGTGTTTTAGATTATCTCCCATTCAGCAGCTTTAACACCTAGGTATTTTACTATTTTTACATTATCTGTTTTTATCACATATTGCATTAGAGCCCTTCCTTTTCTTTCTCCCTGCCTTCTCTCTTATTGCATTTTATATCCTAAAAAGTAGCTCCTGGTCCCCCAACTATTTTATTTAGTGTTTCTTTAGTTTAGTTTCTTATGGAGGACTGGTGAATCCTGATCCAGCTGAGCATTATTTAGCATCTCATTTTACATTTCCTCCAATTATCAGGATAGCACACCCAATCCTTACTACTGTCCCAAATACATGTTACATTTCCCTGAAGGTATAGTAGACATATAAGGTAGATGACTTCTGTGTTATGTAGGAATGTATTTATGTCAATTAACAATGTGGCTGCAAAATGTATACATTAAATTATATTGTTTGTGATGACAATCACAAGCTACAATTTTTCGAACACCTGTGTATTAGGGACCACTTCAGCAACATTTTTTTCATTTTTTATAAATGATCCTATGGTGTAAAACAGGTTGTAAAATGTATGGTTAATTAATGCCTATTTAATAATGGTTTGTCAAATAATACATTCACTCATTATGTTTAACACATAAATCACACATACAATTGTAATCAAAATTATTCAGTCCACATTAAAAATCAGGTTTATTGTCAAAATTTACAGACTTCCAGATGTTGTGTAACCACTGTTCCTTCGACTTTGAACTTGCAAGCTATGCTTCCAATGGTGTCTCTAGTATCTTTTTTGGATCATATTCCTTGTTTGTGAATGGTGACGATCTCTTCTCTTAACTTTGTAGACCATTCTTATGACTTAGCCATATTTCTAACATGCAGTCAAACGTGACACTCAACTAGTCCAGTTCAGGTATTTCAAGTGTTCCAGCTAAAGCACAACTAATGGAGCCCTTGATTAGTTGCATTACACCTGTTTTTCATATTTGAGCTGTTATGAGGGATTCTATTCAGGGGTGGAATAATTTTGAGAATTGAGAAGTCATTACAAGTTGCATTTTCAGTTGAATTTAGGGAAGCCACTTGAACCATTCATTGTGTTTAGCGGTTTCATTTGCTTTTGTTTGATGTGTTCATTGCATAGAGCTGAAAGTCTGTCAATTTTGACACTAAACTTTATTTTCAAAGGGTGTTGAATAATTTGATTACAACTGTATTACATTCTCAAACAGAATAACCTTTTCTTTTCTGCCTCTTGCTGTTGCTTTACGTGTTCTTCCTCATATTCCCGGATGTTGGACACTCCAATCTCTTCACAAAAATCCTTAAACACTTTGTCCTCCACCTAGATATGACATTATAATACTTAATGGTAGAAATCTGCTAGGAAGCACTCCTAGCCCTTGTGGAATGCACCACGGCAATGAAGATGAACTGCATTCACAAAGAAGCATTGGCGTATATGATATTTGAAAAAATAAATGACGAATAAAAAAATAAGATTACTTTTAGAGACTTGACACAATGAACAACGCAGTAGCAAAGAGCATGGACCAAAAAGAACAAATCATATACTACTTTACATTGCTGATGGACAAATTGCCATGGTAAGAATAAACAGGCCCAATCCAATTTAGTTTCCAGGTCAGATGACATTGAGAGTGTTAAAGGCAGTATAACTCATAGGCTTAAAGGAAGACACAATACTCTAATGCTAATGACATGGATAAGAGAAACGTCAGAAAAACCCTGTTTATCTTGGAAAAGAAAACTCCAGTGTTTGAAATATGGAATGTGTTTTCCAGTCCCTGAAAGGCAAAAACCGAGTACCAAACAAACTAAAAAATTCTGACAATATATATATATATATATCTCTTATTTCTGGAATGCAATATCAGAATTCCGATTGGCCTCTTCTTTCCTGCTGGGTGACTTGATTAATGGCTGAGATCAGGCAGCAGTAAAGCCAATGAGTAGTATGTTGTGAGTGACAAAGGTGAAAGTACAGAAAGTGAAGTTAACATATATATACATGGAAAGGAAAAACTAACACTACAGATTTCTGCTAAAACTTACACATGAGAGAGACAATTTAAGAACACCATTACCAATGCTAAGAGACCTATATTTAAATTAGTGCTACACATTTGTTTCAAGTCTTCTCCTACCTTATATATTTTATATGTATATAACTTCACAAAAGGGTTTAGAAATGTTTAATACTGGAGACCTGGAAGGGTTTATGACAGCCTTGACATTTTTGGTTAGTGGGATTGTTCAAGCCTTTCATTCCAAGCACTCTCACCATGACTTTTCTCCACACAGCAATCCTTTCACAATCTACTTGCACTCTGATTTGCACATACACTTGGAAATATCTTACAGAAATAATATGGGGAGAATTCACCCATTCCTGACACTGCTCTACTAAAAAAACAACACAAAAATTCCAAAACTAAAAACATATATAACCACCTTGTTCATTTGTTCTTGAAGGTCTTCTAGTTTCCCTGTTCGGACATCAATCTCTTCCTTCAGCATTGTAAGCTGAGAAGCAATGTTTGCCAAGTCACTTTCTAACCTTGATTTCTCCTAAGGGGAATTAAGAAGGACAGGGTATTGATTACATCTTGCTTACTAAAACAGATATTTCCATAAACTCTGAATTTTAGCCAATATTTATGCAACAATGGCCGATTTTGAAAAATTAACAAAACTCACCAAGTCACTAAATTTTGCAATTTGGATTTTGTTGCATTACAATTCAGAGCTTAGTTAATGTATCATATTTCAATAATGTATCATGTTTTCATAAAACATGCTTTTACATCTTCCTGAGATGAGTAATGCCAGTACCAGATCACTAATACGTTTTGATATATGGTAACTGGAGATAAATACAGATTTTTTTTTTTAGGATAAGCACTACATTACAACTGTATTGAGCTCCTTGTTGAAGATCACCTGGATGAGAATGCATTCACGTATGGAGTCACTGCTGATCCAAACTGTTAAAGCGGCACTGTCATGCCGAATCCCGTTTTTTTTTTAACCCCCCGTCTCCACTCCACTACATCTAACTGACCCCCTAGTCACCCCCAAATGCCCCTAAGCCCCCCATATTACCTATTTTATAATCTTTATTTTCTGCCCCGATCTATATTCAGGGCGACGCCATCTTTGTGTGGGTAGATGAAGTCCCAGTGATACACTTGGACATGCGAACGGAAATTTCATCCATTCATTCATTCATCAGAAAGACGAATGAATGAATAGAAAAATCAGACGAACAATCTAACACTGTGTTTCAGTGTTCGTTCAGTTTATTACAAGGAGGGAGCTACTGGCGCACAGCTCCCTCTTTGTAATATGTAACTATAGAAGCAGCAAGGAGCAGTGCTCCCCGCCACTTCCTAAGCCCCCCAGGTCCCCCCTCACTCTATGGGGGTCAATATGACCCCCATAATAGCATAAGGGAGATTAAAATCTCCCCAATGCCCCTACTTGCTATACCGCGAGTAGGGGCATGTCCACTAAACAGTGAGCAGCCTGTGGCTCCTCACTGTAAAAAAAAAAAACTACTATCCTGCCATAATGATAATGAGAGGTGGGGACGGGGACCTACTGTCCTCCCCCCCGGCCCCCACCCCTGGGCGGCGGGTGAGGGCCATAGTGATAATGGGGAGGGGGCCTAATGTCCTCCCCCCCCACCCCTGGGCAGCGGTTGGGGGCCATAGAGATAATGGGGGGACGACCTACTGTCCTCCACCCCCCCCCGGGCGGTTGGTGGGGGCCATAATGATAATGAGGGGGGTGGGGGACCTACTGTCCGCCCCCGCGCGGCGGCCATAGTGATAATGAGAGGGAGACCTACTGTCCTCCCCCACCCCTGGGCTGCGGGTGGGGGCCATAGTGATAATGAGGGGGGCGGGGGATCTACTGTCCTCCACCCCCCGCCCCTGGGCGGCGGCCATAATGATAATGAGGGAGGGGCGGTGGACCTACTGTCTCTCTCCCCCTCCCCCCCGGGCGAGGGCCATAGTGATAATGAGGGGGACGGGACGGGACGACACTACTGTCCTCCCCCACCACCCCTGGGCGGCGGGTGGGGGCCATAGTGATAATGTAAAAAAAAAACTACTACTACCTACTGTCCTCGTCCCCCCCGGCCCCCAACCCCGGGCGGTGGGTGGGGCCATAATGATAATGAGGGGGGAGGGGGGGCATACTGCCTCCAAAATGAATAATTTTGACAGAGATTAATGTACATTCAGATATCATTGACATCATAAAAGAAGAAAAGAAAAATCAATGTTAGGGCACAGAAAACGTGTGTTTACCATTGAGCAGTTGACAAGTTGTCTCTTCTTAATCACTTCAAGTTCACTCTGTGAATATTTGAGACGAGTCTGGGTTCCTTGGGACTGGGCTTGCAATTGCTTTACATCACTTTCCTTCCGCCTTAATTTTGTTAGATCCTAAGAGTGGAAAATATAGCAGGGTTACTCACCAAAAGTGAGAATTGTTGGCATTTCAAATTTGAGACCATGGTAGCTGAATTGAAAGCAGAGTTTACTTAAAGTTTTCCAGTTCAGCTATTTTGGATTTAAATTTGAAATCCCTTTTGAATTTCTGACAATTCTCACTTTAGTAAATTTTCTGGATGGTTTAACAAATCAAGAAAAAAACAGAAAGAAAAAATCAACTGGATCCAGCCACAGAAGACACTTAAACAACATGGCCTGACTACCGATGGCCAGAGCAGGGAGGAAGTGACAGTCAATAAACACATATGAACAAACAAACTGTATAAGAAACTTAACTATAACCTATTTTAAATTGAGACTGAAGTGCAAATAAGGCAAGATATATACCCATTTAAATATAAAATGTAGTAAGCGGAATATAAAGTGTGAAGACAGTGCTATGAATGCTGTAGATGTTGACAGGATTGAATTATCTGTTCCTTTATTTACACTTATCCAGGTGTTGGTCACCATAACCTTTCCACATGTGGCAACTATACAAGTTTTATTATTAAGAAGGTTAGGATTAAATTCACTATGCACTAAGCAGTGGTGTACTGAAATATGAATTGCAAAATTTAGGCTATAATTAAAAAAATCTGAGATTTGGAAAATTTTGGGGCTTAAAAATTGCATTTCAGTTTTCAGTTGACTAAACATCACTGTTTGGAGAATAAACTTCTTTTATTCATCCTTAAAGTAAAGGTTTGTTGCAGATATGGGTTTAAGAATTTTTATTTGCAAGGTTATTTTCCAATAAAAAATAGGCTTCACCTCTTGTCATTACTGTTGGTAAAGTGTGCATGGTAAAATGTGTATAAGGCTTACTCTGAGCTCATTGATCAATGCATCTCTTTTCTCTTTCAATTCATGTATCTCTTTTTCATCCCAGCGTTTTGCTTTGAAGCGTAAATCGCTTGATCCTCCAGAAATAACGCCAGACTTTAAAAATAATGTTCCATCTAGTGCAACAGTCTGAAAAATGAAATGATATCATGCTTGTTGAAATGCTGATTTAATTAGCAAAATCAACTTTTTTTGCAAACAAATATAATACACACACATGTACACATGATAAAACTCCAGCAGCACAGATCATTCATAAAATAATCAAAAGCAAGGTAACATTCTCTATACAAAATCCTGACAGTCCAAACTACTCTTTTTTTTTTCTTTGCTGCTCCTGCTGTGCCCAGGTCAGAGTATTAGCTCTCTGTGTTGTCTTTTTTTACATTGTGTGGGATTTCAGTTCTGTCATTTCTCACATTTTATGTTTCTTATAATTAATTTCTGTGCCATCACTGTGGCAGAAATGACTCTGCCACGTGTTCTTGGTGGGGCCTGCTGGCCAGCCTCCTGCCAAAAGACTATTTGCCCTTTAAAAACGTATGTGATTTATGTACTTTTGTACTCCATAAAGAGAGACCGACCGTTGGCCCTAATTCCCTGGAACTGTTTTGGGCATAGGACCATGTGCACGATCAGTCAAAATTATGATTTCCATGGAAATCCCGAACCCATGAACCGATCTGGGTGATTTTTGGATATGTTGGTTCCCTAGATTGGGGCTATCAGAGGATATGACTATTGTGGGGTTTCCTTGTGTTTTAGGGGTACTTTTGTTGTATTGCATGCTTTTCTGTGCTTGGAGATAATTGGATTAGATTAGTACAGTTCCTGGTCCAATTATCTCCCAGTCACAGAGGAGGGATTATTTTATTATGTATGGGAGTATCCTGGATCTGAGAGCCAATGTAATTGTGTATTTGTTTCTACTGTGGTTTACTCTCAGGTCCAGGAGGGAGTGCCCCTTGCATGGGAACCTGCATATAAGGCCAGTTGTGGCTACCATGAAACAAGTTCCTGCTTATCTCAACGTAGAGTCTCATCTCATGTTTGTAGGGAATCGCTATACCAGCTATAATCACCAGCTCTTGTAAGAGCTACACTGCTACACCTGCTATACTCTCTTGGAGGTGAGGCCTTCCCACTGGGAGCTGGATCCAGGAGTTTGGTCCAGGGTGGGAAGGGACGGCGAGACCACAGCCAAGCTGCGGCGGCTAAGGGGCTAGGTGCTTGTGGTGTCCAGTGCAGTGCTTATGGTACTCGTCGACAGCTAGGAAGCGATTGGCAGAGGCACCCAGTCGGGGTGCCAGGTGGTCCGCCACAATCACTTTAGAATTTTTAGGATTTAGAATTCTACCTGGCCTTGCCACCTCGCTCTACCATTCTCACTTTGGCTTATTTAGTTTTTTTAGGCCTCTCTGGCATTGCCCTGGGACTCCAGTTTCTCTTAGTGCCTTTCTCCCACTGGCGGGTTCTCATGCGTGGAGGCCATCTTGGATATTACGAGATTCACGGCAGCCATCTTGGTTCTCTTTTCAGGCTGTTACACACTGCCTGAATTGTGTTCTACAACCGGAATTTAGCCCATCTCGCATCTGGGACTTGTTGGTCTGCCTGCACTACTGGAATCAGTAGCAGTCCTCATGGTAATTTATAGGGGTGAGCCCCCTTTACTCTTAAGAACTGTAAATATCTGCACATATTGATAAGGTTGCAATTCCCTTTTACATATTAGCTGCTTACTACAGCTGGCTGTGAGTGGTGAGCTGTCCTACTAATTCACCAACACCTTCATCTACATGCCTCGGTGGTATTTCACTAACTATTAATAACCTGGGCAAGCCCCAAATGTGTTAGCAGGGGGTCTCCCTGTCAGGCCTATCATCGTTGCAGCTACTCCCTCTGGTGCTATCCTCCAAAGGGGAAAACGCCTACCTTTCATCCGCATAAGAAGTGCTGAATGAAGGGCGGGCGCACAATTCCCTATTGGATGATGAGGATGGCTGGCCAGACATGCCTCCCCTGGAGACATGGTGACATCCGGGGCTCCTACCCGCTGGATGATGACAGGTTTTTCCTGAACGCTCGTGGTTGTCCACTGTTCAAACTAAGAACGATCAGATAACGAGATCATTCCAATGGAGCCAACAAAGTTTGTTCATTTCTGGATACGTAAACCCATAGACTGTGAGATCCGAGCTCAATGTGAGCTGAATATTCACGACCTCTACTCCCCGACAAAATGGAGGTCACACTGAAATTCGACCAGATGGTCGTGATCTTTATGGCATGACCCATGCAAGGGGATAGGCCCGTTAGCCAAATCCTTTATTTCACGGACCTAGGTTTTGTAGTGCATCACTACAAATCGGCTGTGAAACCCTCTCAAGTTGTTCAGTTTCTGGGATTTGAGATTGACTCAATCTCCTGTGTACTTCGTCTGCCTTTCTGAAATATCGCACCTGTCCGGAGGGAGATTAGGAAGATACTGTGGATGGACCACATCCCTCTTTATCTCCTAGCTCAATTAACGAGTCTCCTATCTGCTTATATTCAGGCAATCTACACTACTTCTACACTACTAAGCCATGCAACGGTTGAAAGCACACCACCTGCGCTCAGGCCTCTCATATGACCAGATGGTGCCTTTCATCTCTGAGGTGCAGACAGAGCTTCGTTGGTGGCTTCTCCATACGCAGGCATTGAACAGAAAGGCCATATTTAGTCCCTCTCCTGATTTTGTGGTGGAATCGGATGCAATCCTCTAGGGCTGTGGAGCACATTGTGTGGACTCATCCACAAAGGGACTGTGGCTAGACAAGAAGACCGATTTACATATCAACCTCCTGGAACGGAATGCAGACTCCTTTGATATTCGCAGTCTAGCCCATGAAATGTCCAATTGTTGCATCCTGGTTACGCATGGACAACGTCTCAGCAGTCCACTATATAAACCGGGGCCGGCTTTCAAGCACTGTTGAAAAGCGACCAAAGACATACAAAGTACCTTCCGGGAATTTCCAACTTCCTAGCAGATTGGTAGTCTTGTCATTGGCGGGATGGAAGGAACTGGCAGCTTCACGAGCTTCCACAAGCTATTTGACTGCAGGGTCAACCTTTTTGTCTCCTGTACCAACTGCCAACTTTCAAGGTTTTTCAGCTGGCTCTCAGTTCCAGAACCTGAGGCAGTGGATGCCGCCCGTAGGGGTGTACGCAGTATCACCGTTCTCAATGCTGGCAAGGGTTCTGTACCAGATTCATGTTCAGAGGATTTCTCTACTCCTCGTTGCTCCACTGTGGCCGAGACAAGCATGGTTTCTGGATCTGTTGGATTTGTCCTACAACCATCCTCTCCTTCTGCCATCGTTCTCGCTTCCTCTGTCCGATCCCCAGGGAGAACCCCATCCCCTCGTCCTTCAAGAACGACTAGACCTTGTGGTCTAGACGATTTCAGGTGATCTTGGTCTGTCGACGGCCTATTGCAGACCACTAAGGACCTGTTATGGGACTCATGGGTGAAAGGCACTAGACAAAGTTACCTCTCTGCCTGGAACAAATGGACTAGTTTATATTTGGATGGGGACTCCGATCCCTTTACAGCGCCTATTCCTATCATCTTTAATTACTTGTCTTCTTTAGATAAATAGTTTGTCTGGTCTCCTTCCTACGGGTAGAAGACGTTCGAGCTTTCGACGTGGACAGCAGAGGGGGTATCTTTTTCGGTTTCGCGGACTACAAAGACAAATTACAGCTCTGCAAGTTTGCATGGTTAAGGCATTGCTAAGTTATATGGAGATTACAGCTCCATTTTGTCGTTCACCAGATGGTCCACTTCTCCTTTATGTCAAGCTACACAAGCCTGTATCTACCACTACTCTAGCGAGATGGGTTCGCTGGCTTCTGACCTTGGTCGGTGTTGAATCATGTTTCAGCACTCATTCCGTACGTGGAGCTGCTGCGTTGCAAGCTTTTTGGACAGGCGCATCTTTAACGGAGTGTACTTATAATCTTAATAATGACAGAGGCAAGTATTTTCCCTCCCTTCTCATTCCAACCCTTCTGTACTGTTGATGATATTCTATTCTGTTTCTCTTATGGGTTTCAGAATTGGATATTACACATATCTGATTTTTATGTAACTCATGGTTAGTCTTGTTATGTTCCTTAAATAATCTACTCTGCATGTTAGCATTGCATAAAATTTTGCTTGTTGCTGTCATGTTGACATACCACCGTTACCATTGCCTTTCATTTATTTCTGTTCTTTTCAGTTTGAACCTTGCCATCTTTTACCAGGTTTGGTGGTCTCTTCACTACACGCAGAGTCCTCTCTCTGGAACCTGTTGGAGTCATTGTTCAGTTCTTCCGTTTGTTTCCTGTTCCTGTTATATTTTGTTCTGCTTAACTCACATCAAAGAAAGGAGGATGAGTTTGGATTGTCAGGATTTTATTTAGAGAATGTTACCTTATTTTTGATTGGTTGATTTTATGATTGATCTGTGCTGTTGGAGTTATGAGTAAAGAAAGTTTATGCAAAATACCCCCTCCTGTTATTACTAAAATTAAGATAAATACACTTCGTTAGCATAATCTACAATTATAATTTAAAGAGCAGCAACACTTGCTCAAAAAAGCTTATACATACTCATACATTACTGACATGCAGCTCTCTAAAGTTAAGAAACACTCCACACACACACACAACTTCAGCTTTTAATTGTAGTTTATAAAAGTTCTGATTTCTATTAGAAATTGTAATTTTATATTTAGGCAGAAGTGTCCCTTTAAGAGGAGACCTCAACCTTTCAAACTGCTAAAAAGAACAACTATTCTTAGAAAGAAAAAGACTAACATAAATGTTTATTGCATATTACTAAAAAAACAGGGCCACTTGTTTCAAATAAATAATAAAGCAATGTTAGGTATATCAATCTGACACAGGAAGTGATCTGACCATAAAAGAGAGACTGCTACTTACTTTTATTCTTTCTGGGCCATCAAATGCGACATGTCTGGCTTCCACTACTGTCTCGCAGACCAAGCCATTACTACACACAAACTGAATCACTTTCTTCAGAGAGGGGCTAGGAGTCTGGATCACATCAATCATCATTTTGGCTCCTTTTATTTCCCTGAGCTTTTCATTTATTGGTTTTACCTGAAAGTGTTAACAAAAAACGTTAATATACCCTATACAGAAATAATACAGAGTCAGTTTACAACTTCCAAATAGTCTATTGTCACCTACCTATGAGCCTAGTATACCTCTAGTGGGGCTATAGGCATTACAATTTAGGTGCTTATCACTTTTCATCAAATCCCTTCCATGTTCTCCCTATTTGCAGTATCCTCAATCTAATGACATACTGAAGTTTCCTCCTCTCGTGTTTTTTTTTTTTTTTTTTTTTAAAAACACTATATCATTGGGAATACAAATGTATATTCCTGACAATATAGTTTTGAAAGCATAATTTAGGTCCTTGGCCCCCCTCTCCTAAGTTTAAAAAGGTAGTTTACTCTCCTTTTTTCCAGTGCTGCACTGTTCTCGTTGAGGCGTACCAAATCCCGCCTTTTTCAAAATTGTTCTCAGCCAATCCAATTCTTTCCCATAGGAATCTCCTCATAGAGATGCATTGTATCAGTACATCTCTATGAGGAGCGTTCAGCGTCTCTGTGCAAAGCATGGAGACTCTAAACGTCAGTAGTGCACACAGTGCAGCACTGATCCAGGAAGCACCTCCAGTGGCCGGCTGGGTGGCTGCCACTAGTGGTGTTCCTAGGCAATAAATATAAGCAGAGCCTTTTCTCTGAATTGTCAGGAATTTCCAAATTAAGGCTAAAGTAGCATCACTAGAAACATAATATAGTTTCCACTTTGGCTATTTTAGCCATAAATTTGAAATTCACTATAAATTCCCAACAATTCTCACTTTAGTGAATAACCCAGAAATAATCTCTAAAAATTGGTTTCAGGATTTGTTATGCCACATAAACACAAAAGCATGTATCCGTCATGCACTGATTTACAAATCAAAAAGATTGCTTATCACATTCTCATACTGGTGTACAACGGAATGAGTATTTCTATTTCTACATTATGAGTAAATAATTTGGAAAAAAAAGCATATGAATCAATTTTCAAAATCAGATAGGCCTAGCTCTTTATTATCTTACTGGGAACCATGGGGCAGAAATTAAGAAAAACTACAGAGAAGAAAATTTAAAGTAACACTTTAAGCACTTTAGCATATCCATTTTCTAAATTTCTGTAGACTAGTCATTATAAAGAAAAAACTGTCAAAACAAAAAGAAAACTTATCCGTTTGTAAGTTAAATGGAAGAATTGACTCTTGGTATTTTATGTAGTCAAAATAACAAAATAATAACAAACCAAATAAAACAATAAAAATAACAAAATAATGTTCATAGCTCTAAAAAGGTTTAAAATATCTTATTAGCCACAACTTCCTTTAATACACTGTCATTCACCTTGAAATGTACTGTAAAATATCACAATGATAAAGTTCTATTTAGTATTATTATTATTTATATAATGCCAGCAAATTCCATAGCGCTGTACAATGGAGTAATAAGGGAATTACTTAATACATTAAAGTTCAGTCATTTTCCAGCAGATTAAAGTCATAATGCCATATGAAGATTGCATGTGAGGTGCATGTATGAGAATCAATACTTACATCCAAGTAATCCAAGGACAGAAAGGTCTCTGGCTCGGCTCTTTCTTCTTTAAGGAATCTGATGCAATCTCTAGCCACTTTCTCCGTAGACACAACAATGGCATTCATGTATCTGCCAAAGACTTTGGTAACAGCCAAATGATACTTTTTATGAATCGGATGACAGAGCTCAAATAACCTGCCAAACTGAAACAAAGAACACAAAATTTCTCTAAGATTCACTAAGCAGAACACATTCTATGATTCCACTACACTATTCATAATGGAAGCTGCATAAATAAGCCTTGAAACTCTAATAAGACAGCTGGGATTCAATTATTTACCACAGAATCGGGGTACATTCTTTTCATGCTCTCTAAAATCTCTGCTCTCATCCTTTGTCGACTTCCTTCATGAAACTCTATGTGTGCATTCTGCAGTTCTCCAACTATGTCTTTCAGTTCATCATTAACCTCCTGCATTCTGAGTTTTCCTGCCTCAATTTCGTTCACAAGTTGCACCTCCTGGTTTCTGTGTTCTTCCAGAGATTTACTTTACCCAAAATTGAAAATTATGTCAGTAACATAAATAAAGAGGATGTTGAATAATTACTGGTGCAGTGACTATGACATTCTGTATTTCTATCTTTCTACCTGTATATTTATTATAAGAATATCTTTTTCACTGGAACATAATTTGGTCTTTCAAGTTTAGTTTTATTTGTTATAAATTGTCTAAATGAAGGTGACTTGCAGAATAAAGGTCAGACCATCCATAAACACAAACAGGAAAGGGGGTCAGACAGCGCTGCATGGCCTAGCCAAATCTGCCATCAGATATTACTGTAGGTGAAAGTTTAGGATCCAGTGATCATGAGTCAGTGTGGTTTAATATAAGAACAGTGACTGAGTCACACCACACAAAAACAAAAGTTTTAGACTTTAGAAAAATATACTTTTCTAAAATTAGAATATGTGTAAAGGAGTCATTATCAGACTGGAGCAATTTAAAAGGAGTCCCATAGAAACTGGGTTATTTAAAAGTTGCACTGCTGAAGGCAACAGAAAATGGCATTAGGCTTGTCAGTAAAAGCAAAAAAATAAAGAAACCACTGTGGTACTCCGCAGATGTGGCTAAAATAGTAAAAAAACTAAAACGTTAGCATTTAGTAATTATAAAAAAAACCAGAGCGAGGAAGATAGATAGACAGATCTATAAGATTAGGCAGAAAGAGGCAAGTTATAAGAGCTTCCAAATCACACACTGAAGAGAAAATAGCAGTCAATAAAAAAGGGGAACAAAACATTTCTTAGATACCGTATTTTTCGCTCCATAAGACGCACCTCACCATAAGACGCACCTAGTTTTTAGAGGAGGAAACCCAGAAAAAAAAATATTCTGAACAAACTGTTCCATAGTGTTTCTTACCATGGGACAGTTTGTTCAGAATATTTTTTTTTCTCCCCTGTCCCATAATGATCTTTAACCCCCCTTTCCTCTGTCCCGTAGTGATTGTTAACCCCTCCTCCCCTGTCCCATAGTGTTCTTTAACCCCTCCTAACCTGTCCCATAGTGTTCTTTAACCCCTCCTCCCCTTGTCCATTAGTGTTCTGATCCCATAGTGTCCCCCCTCCCATTGTCCCATAGTGCACTTTCCCTCCCATAGTGTGTCCCCCTGCCCTTGTCCCATAGTGTCTCCCCCTCCCCTTGTCCCATAGTGTCCCCCCTCCCCTTGTCCCATGGTGTCTCCCTCCCTTGTCCCATGTGTCTCCTCCCCTCCCCTTGTCCCATGAGTGTCCCTTCTCCCATAGATACTCCCTCCTTTCTCCCATGGTGTCCCCTCCTTGTCCCATAGTGTCTCCCCCTCCCCTTGTCCCATAGTGTCCCCCCTCCCCTTGTCCCATAGTGTCTCCCCTCCCTTGTCCCATAGTGTCTCCCCTCCCTTGTCCCATAGTGTCTCCCCTCCCTTTCTCCCATAGTGTCCCCCTCCCCTTGTCCCATAGTGTCTCCTCCCCTCCCCTTGTCCCATAGTGTCTCCTCCCCTCCCCTTGTCCCATAGTGTCTCCCCCTCCTCTTGTCCCATAATTACTTGCTGCAATGTCTTGGGCGTTAGTGGGCGGCCTTCTGTGGCTCATGATCCAGGGAACTAATATTTCGAGGTTCGGTTTTTGGCGGGTTTGAAGGGTAATGCGCACTCGGTGTGCACACTTCATCCCGCTAAGAGACTCAGTTCTGGACGGCAGACGGCTCTGTGGTAATACATAAGCTCCATAAGGCAGCACCAGACATTTTCCCTCACTTTTGGGGAAAAAAGAGATAGTCTTATGGAACTCTGGAAACCCACATAAATGAGAAAAGGAAGGTAAAACAAGGATTAGTTAGATTAAAAACAAAAGAAGGAAGATATGTAGAAGAGGATAAAGGTCTAGCTGACTGCCTCAATGAATAGTTCAGTATTGACAAATAAAAATGAAGGTTTAGGAAAAAGGACAAATTAGTAATTTGTTACATGTGAGTTTACAGAGGAGGATTTAAACTGTCAAAAGTAAAGACAAATAAGTGGAATGCACCCAAAGTTATTAAAAAGAGCTTAGTGGTGTACTAGCAAAACCATTAATGGATTTATTTACCAATCATTGTTAACCCCTTCAGGACGGAGTCAACAGTGCACGTTCTGATCAAAACAAAACGTAAACAAAAACTGGAATTTGTGCTATATGTCTGTTCAACCGTAATTCACCGCTGTCACATTAAGTGCACCCACACTTATTATATATCATTTTGTTCAGGAGAAACAGGGCTTTAATTTATCATTAACTATTCATATATGGAACATAATTTATTATGAATAAAATTTAAAAAATGTGAGAAAATAAGATTTTTTTAAAAAAATTCTATTTCCATCTGACATTTTAGCTGTGAATATCATAATACTGTTGGGTTTTACTGCAAAAAAATGCACATATTTGTAATCAGCGATGTCTCACGAGTACAACAGTACCCCCCATTAACAGGTTTTATGGTGTTTTGGAAAGTTACAGGGTCAATTATAGAACGTTCCATTTTCAAATTGAAATTTGCCAGATTAGTAATGTTACCTTTGAGACGGTGTGGTAGCTCAGGAATGAGAATTACCCCCATAATGGCATACCATTTGAAAAAGTAGACAACCCAAGGTATTGAAAGTGGGGTATGTTTAGTCTTTTTTAGTAGCCACTTAGTCACAAACACTGGCCAAAGTTAGCGTTCATATTTGTTTTTGTGTGAAAAAAAGCAAAAAAATAATATTTGGCCAGTGTTTGTGACTAAGTGGCTACTAAGAAAGACTGGACATACCCCACTTGCAATACCTTGGGTTGTCTACTTTTGCAAATGGTATGCCATCATGGGGGTAATTCTCATTCCTGGGCTACCATATGCTCTCAAAGGCAACATAACCAATCTGGCAAATTTCAATGTCAAAAAATGAAATGCAAGCCTTACATGTGACTCTCTAACTTTCCAAAACACCATAAAACCTGTACATGAGGGGTACTGTTATTCTCGGGAGACTTCACTAAACACAAATATTAGTGTTTTAAAACAGTAAAACATATTACAACAATAATATAGTCCATAAAAGTGCCGTTCGTTTGTAAGAGATGCAAAAAATTTCCCTTTTACATAAAATATCATCGTTGTAATACAATTTACCAGTTTAAAACACCAATATTTGAGTTCAACGAAGTCTCCCGAGTAAAACAGTACCCCCTATGTACAGGTTTTATGGTGTTTTGGAGAGTTACAGGGTCAAATATAGTGCTTGCAAATTAAATTCTCTGCACTTTCTCCCTGTGTTGTCAGGCATGTCAATCAAATTTGAATTAATCAAATCACATAATTATGTTAAAAGATTACTTAAATATACACGTAGAATTTTAATATATATGCATTTATAGGTATTTAAATTCTACGTGTATACTAATATAATCTTTTATGTAATTATATGTATTTATCTATATATATATATATATATATATATATATATATTTTTGCGGTTATTTGTATTTTATATATATATATAGATATATATAGAATGTCATTCTAAGTGTATTTTGTTACCTATATATATATATATTAATAACAAAATACAGTTAGAATGAAATTACATATGAATATATAATTTATATTAAATTTTGTTTCAATATTTTATTTATTTATTATTGTAATTATACGTATATATCTATTATATATATAATATATACATATTATATATATGTAACGTCATTCTAAGTGTATTTTAATACTAATATATGTACTTATATTAATATTAAAATACACTTTGTATGACGTTACATATATATAATATATATAATAGATATACATATATTTTATATATATAAATTTCTATTTTAATTTGACACGCTTAATTCTTTTTTTTTTTACTTTCCCACCAGCAGGGTGACTGTCTGACATTTCAGACAGTCCCCCTGCTGGCAGATCCACAGCCAGCTATGGAGGGCCATATTTGCCGGGGGAGGGCTGCCTGGGCTGTCAGGCAGCCCTCCAGAAGAAGATCTCGGCGGAGGTGAGTAAATTGGAGCTCCAGGGGCTGAAAGCCGTTACGGCGTTCTATGCCGCCGCAACGGCTTTAAAGCCCTTTTAATGCTGGGCGGCATAGAACGCCGTAACGGCGTTAAGGGGTTAACAGGAGTAGTCCCAGAAGATTGGACGTTAGAAAATGTTGTGCCCATTCACAAGAAAGGTAGTAGAGAGGAGTCGGGCAACTACAGGCCAGTAAGCCTTACTTCAGTAGTGTAGAAAATAATGGAAACCATGTTAAAGGATAGGATTGCTGAATATCTAAAATCACATGGATTTCAAGATCAGAGACAACATGGGTTTACTTAAGGCAGATCATGGCAAATTAATCTTATCGATTTTTTTGATTGGGTAACTAAAATAATAAATCAGGGTGGTGCAGTAGACATTGCTTTCCTAGATTTCAGTAAGGCTTTTGACACTTTTGTTAATAGCAATCTTTAAGTTTGGATTCCAATATTGTTGAATGGGTAAGGCAGTGGCTGAGTGACAGGCAACAGAGCAATGTAGTCAATGGGGTATATTCGAAGCATGGGCTTGTCACCAGTAGGGTTCCTCAGGAATCTGTAGTTGGACCTATTCTCTGTAAAAAATGTATTAGTGATATTGCAGAAGGTCTTGATGGTAAGATATGTCTTTTTGCTGATGATACTAAGATATGGAACAGGGTTGATGTTCCAGGAGAGATAAGCCAAATGGCAAATGATTTAGGTAAACTAGAAAAATGGTCAGAGTTGTAGCAACTGGCATTTAATGTGGATACTTTCCTCTGAGGAAAGGGATTTATTGGTGATTATTTCTGATGACAAATGTAGGCAGACAATGTAATAGAGAAGCAGAAAATGCTAGCAGAATGCTTGGTTGTATAGGGAGAGGTAATAGAGGTAGAAAGAGGGAAGTGCTCATGCCATTGTACATAACACTGGTGAGACCTCACTTGGAGTATTGTACGCAGTACTGGAGACCATATTTCTAGAAGGATATTGATACTTTAGAGAAGGGCTACTAAACTGGTTCATGGATTGCAGGATAAAACTTACCAGGAAAGGTTAAAGGATCTTAACATGTATAGCTTGGAGGAAAGACGAGATGGGGGGATATGATAGAAACATTTAAATACATAAAGGGAATCAACACAGTAAAGGAGGAGAGTATATTTAATGGAAAAAAAAACTACCACATCAAGGGGACATAGTCTTAAATTAGAGGGGCAAAGGTTTAAAAATAATATCAGGAAGTATTACTTTACTGAGAGGGTAGTGGATGCATAGAATAGCCTTCCAGCTGAAGTGGTAGAGGTTAACACAGTAAAGGAGTTTAAAGGACCACTCTAGGCACCCAGACCACTTCAGCTTAATGAGGTGGTCTGGGTGCCTGGTCCAGCTAGGGTTAACCCATTTTTTTTTTTATAAACACAGCAGTTTCAGAGAAACTGCTATGTTTATAAATAGGTTAATCCAGCCTCTAAAACCTCTAGTGGCTGTCTCATTGACAGCCGCTAGAGGCGTTTGCGTGCTTCTCACTGTGAAAATCACAGTGAGAAGACGCAAGTGTCCATAGGAAAGCATTATGAATGCTTTCCTGAGACTGGCTGAATGCACGCGCAGCTCCTGCAGCGCATGCACATTAAGCCGAAGAGGAGGAGAAGAGAGGAGCCGGAGAGGAGGAGAGCTCCCCACCCGGCGCTGGAGAAAGGTACAATTTTAACCCCTTCCTCTCCAGAGAGCCCGGCGGGAGGGGGTCCCTGAGGGTGGGGGCACGCTCTGGGCACTAAAGTGCCAGGAAAACAAGTATGTTTTCCTGGCACTATTGTGGTCCTTTAAGCATGCGTGGGATAGGCATAAGGCTATCCTAGTTATAAGATAAGGCCAGGGACTAATGAAAGTATTTAGAAAATTGGGCAGACTAGATGGGCCGAATGGTTCTTACCCGCCGTCACATTCTATGTTTCAAACAGGAACAGTTTTAATTTAAGAGTATTTGGAAAGATAGAAAATTAGTAGCATGGTTTCTAATCATGTTGTTGTGTCATTTCATGCAGGTGTAGAACAAGCAGTAATATGACATAGATATTATGAATTTATACTTTTAGTCAAAAATAAAGTTTGAAAGACTCAAATGAAAAGACACGTTTGATCACTTAAACACTTGCAAAATTGTAAAGCCCGCCATAACATGTTGGTGCACTATAACAGATGACAAACAAGCCAAAATAGTGTAAATGATACAGACTTAAAAAAGACTAATGATAGGTTGCCATAATGGTAGTTTGAAAGCAGGTGTAGGATAACATGACAGCAGCAATATATATAGTACATTACAGTATTCCTTGCTACAGACAGAATTATGTACATTACTTCAACGTCAGGCTGTTTTAACTCTACATACATGCAGGTGCTTATGTAATCCTCCAACTTCTCCATCCGTTTTTTGAGTTCTTCAATCTGTTCCTCTATGTGTTTTTTGTTTACCTATAGGATGGAGATAAAATGTAAAAACCCCACAAGACTGTAACTAGTTAATTCTGACAGGTGCTAGTACTTTAATCGGTGACATTCAATCCAACCTACAAGGTATTTACAATACCTCTGTACTCAGATAATGTTACATAGTAACCTGTAATTCTTTCTGTCTCCTCTGATCAAACACCAGCTTCTCCTGATCTGCTCGATGCTCCCACTGCAGTTTCTCAAGCTGCTGCCCCAATACTGCACTTTTCTTCCTTGCCTCCTCCTTCAGAGATTTGTACTGGGCAAGCTGTAGGTGTAGGTGGCATAAAAGCACAAGCCAGATGTGAATGGTGCAACTGTACAATGAAGCACATCCCCCTCCCCCTGCCAGTATAAAATACCGTATGTAATAGGACACCTATTATTTAATTTAAAAAGATAAGCCCAAATAAATATTCAGAACGCAACAAGTAAAAAAATAGTTTCATACATTTTGGTAACAAATGCATAGATAAAACAAAAAACAAAAAAAAAAACCTGACGGCACGTATTTACTAAACTGGGAATTGACAGAATTGACAAGGGAATTTTTATAGTTTAGACTAAAATGGAGGAGCTATGAAATAAATAAACAACCAAGTTGGAAATAATCCAGTTACAATGGCCTAAACTTTGTTGTGCCCTTGTCAATTCTACACAATCACTTGTTTAGTAACTTAATCCTATCAGTTACCTTTTTATTTCTGATGTCACCAAGTCACCATCACATGCAAATTAATTAAAATTTGACAGTTAATTTGCACTTCCAATTAGGTTGAATGACACACAAAACAAAAGAAATATTACATTACCTTAAAAGATGGGTTATTCTTTTGCCCAAGAATACTTATTTTTCTTAAGAAGAAGCAATCATGACAAGTTCACCTTAAAGGGAAACTCCAGTGCCAGGAAAACAATGTTTTCCTGGCACTGCAGGTCCCCTCTCCCTCCCACCTCCCAATCCCCGGTTGCTTAAGGGGTAAAAACCCCTTCAGGTCACTTGCTTGAGACCCCGCCAATGCCCCTCGGCGGTGGTTTCTTCTCGCCGCCGCTCCTCCAGCGACGCTCTAGCACAAGTTTTATGTGCTAAAGAGCAGGAAGTGCCCTCTAGTGGCTGTCTAGCAGACAGCCACTAGAGGTGGAGTTAACCCTGCAAGGTAATTATTGCAGTTTATAAAAAACTGCAATTACACTTCCAGGGTTAAGAGTAGTGGGAGTTGGCACCCAGACCACTCCAATGGGCAGAAGTGGTCTGGGTGCCTGGAGTGTCCCTTTAATGGCAAACAGTAATGAATATATAAATTTATCATAAAGACGGTATAATGGTTTTACCATCTTATCAGCATCATAGCAGTGCCATTACTGGATGTCTATGAATGCCATGTTTTTTTGCCCCTTTTCAACCAAATTTTTATCATGACGCCAACATGCTGGCTTCACTGCCAGTAGCGTGACATCAGCACACTCTGTCCCTATAATCTCACAGCAAGTGAGGTATATTAGCTAGCTAGAGGAATAGCATGGTAACAAAGAGCAGAAGAACACACTGTAGGATAGTTCTCCTGATTTCCCATTATTCAACGAGCCCCTCAGGACTTCTTGAGACTCAACCTTACATCCCATCACTTAAAGGAGTAGAATATGCCCACCATACCTCCTCTATCAGTTTTCTTATTGGGAATGCATGGGTGTAATATTGTATGCAGTCTGTGGTTGGGCACTATTAAAGGTCTTGTCCTGGTATACGGACTAAAACTAAAAACAATGTATTACGTTTTTAAAGTATGCTTGGAACTGCTCTGCACCACAGGAAAGTTTAACCTGTTAAAGTGTGTATGGAAATAAAGATTTTTGTTTCAATAGATAAAAAACAGCCAACTGAGGGAGTATATATATTTCAGATTTATTTTTGATATACAGGCATACCCCACTTTTAAGTACACAATGGGACCAGCGCATGTATGTAAAACGAAAATGTACTTAAAGTGAAGCAATACCTTTTTTCACTTCCCAATGCATGTACGGCATTGCAATAGTAATTTACAGGTATAACTGATACTGCAACTGCAGATTTCCAGTGATTGTACCATTTATCTTTAATGTTTTACTCATCTGACAACCTTAAACTGGGAGCAAAAGTAAAATAAACCTGCCCACTGGGCCATTTTCTGCCAATCCTGTGCCAATTTGTATTTATTAGCAGCCTAGTTGCACACTTTGTTTAGAAACACCTCTTCATCACTTTAAGCATTTATGGTTTAACTTTGAATCCTCAGAATTGTGGCTAGTGCAGCTAAGCTGCTAAGTCATAGGTATAGAAAATGGCAGGGTAAACCCTTTCATTGGATTGCAGATTGCGGAATAATGACAATGTCTAGGCAGAAAAATATATATATATATATTCATTTAGGAGTAGGCATTAGAAATTTGAGCTTATTAACCTGTGCCATGTCAGAAGGTGTGAAAAGTTCTTGCCCCAAGGACACTGAACTGAGCTGCTCCGGGCGAGAATAGAACCTTCCATTTAATGTTCACTCGCAAACAGAAGAGGCGCGGTATGTCTGTATGTATATATATATCAATCAAATAATTGCAAACAAAAAATTATCTTTGATAAATATATGTGCCGCACAATTATTGCTTTGTAAATACACTCAGTGCTTCAAGCTACTAATTATATGGAGGACAACTCCCATCATGCTTATTAACTATGAACTGTTCCTGCTTTGCAAATATTTTCAGCTACTTGCTTAAAGTTACTACTGAAGATTATTCTCATTAACCTAAAGAATGACTTAATGCATCTCTGAGGAAATACTTATTAATGAACTTTGTGTTGTTGATTACTTCTTATTGGATTATTGCCTAAATGCAATTCATTTAAGTTTAACACTTATTAAAACTTTGTTTGAATCAAGTTACCAGCAATTCTCTCTTTTCTTAAAGCTACAGTATTGATACTTTAAAGATTCTCAGTTTCTTCACTATTGTAATTAGGGAGTTTTACAAGCTGCTGTTGAGTTCCAATCCAAATCACCCAAGTAGCGTAACAGCCACACTTATATTTCACAAATATATATATATATATATATATTTTTTTTTTTTTTTTTTTGAAATTTGTATTTTATTGTTTTTCAACATATATTAGGGGGGGGGATACAGAAGAGAAGAAAGGAGGGGGGGGGGTAGTCACATTGCATAGTTTACATGCACACAATTGTATTTTACAGTATTATCCAGTATGCATAGCCGAACATATCACATTTACACTGGTCAATTCGAGCTAATACCTTATGGGCCAATCACTGCGGTGCCCTGTACTTCGCCACCAGGTCGTCAAACCCTACCAGTCCCCAAGACCCTGTTTGTTCTATCGTCACCGGCTCCCTTTAGTGTCCTATCTCCCCTATCCTGGGTTGTCTCCTGTTGTGGTGGTTTATAGTGGGGTTGTGGCTTGTGCGTCCTCTTCTATGGTGTGGGGATTGGTAAGTGGGGGTGGCCTCATGGCCAGTGATCCTTTATGGGGGCTCATTAGTCTGGGTTGCCCGCCCTCCAAGAGCGCCATAATTCCCATGTACTCAGGAAGCGTTGTGGGTACGGGTGTGTCGTAACGAAGTGTGTTTCATAGAGTAGTTGTTTGTCTATTTCTTGTATAAGGGGTAGGATGTTGGGGTGTTTGTCAGATTTCCAGAGCCTGGCTATTAATTTTTGTGCAGTCAATAGAATATGGCATATCAGCTTCTTCGCCCCGGTAGGTACGGTACTCGGTATGTCTAGCAACAAGAAGGTTGCGGGTTCGAGGGGTATGTCAGTGTTGGTGGCTTCGGTAAGGAGCTTGTGTACCTCTTTCCAAAATCTAACAAGGCGGGGGCATCTCCACCAGATGTGCATGACTGTTCCGTGGTCACCTATGCATCTCCAGCATACCGGAGACGAGTGGGGATATTGTTTATGTATGCGGGACGGGACCATGTACCACCTATATAACGTTTTCCTGTGTTGTTCCAGGAGTGGGGCTGATTTAATCAACCTCCTCGTGGAGTATATAATGTGTTTCCATTTAGCTTCGGGAATTTTGGTCCCTAGGTCCAGGTCCCATTGTAGTGCCTGTGGTGAGTTGTGGAAGGGTATGTACGTCTGAAGGGTTTTGTAACAGTCCGATAGTGGCTTGAATGTGGGTGGCATTTTCCCCGATATGCCTATTTTCTCCCAGGTAGAGAGTTCCACCGGCCTGAGTTGGCCCGGGGGTTTTGTCTTATTTCGTGTGGTGAGAAGGGAGTGTAGTTGAAGGTGCGAATAATGTGATGTTTGTGGGATGTTGTAGGTGGATCGGAGCTTAGCGAAGTTCGTGAGTTTGCCTGCTTCACACATGTGTGACAGGTGGGTGATCCCCATGGCCTTCCATGGTGTCGCATGGAACGTAGGGATGCAGTATGTTATAGCTTCAATTGGAGTTGCCATTGATAGGGGGTGTCCTGTTTCGAAATGTCCTCTGTGTGTTTCCCAGACCTGTAGTGCCAATGCAAGTTGGGCGGGTGGGAGTGGGGTGGCCGGTCTGTCTTTTTTTGGTAACCACAGCAGATTGGGGATTTGGAAGGGTAAGATGGCTGTATGCTCCATTGCCACCCATTGGGGTTGGTTGTCCTTGGTCAAATGTGGCAAGAGGGAGGACAGTACTGCAGCTTGGTAGTACAATTTGACATTAGGGAATGCCATTCCCCCTTGTGCTGTGGGGGCTAGGAGCACTTTTTGTGACATTCGTGCCCGTCTCGTTCCCCAAGTGAATTGTAGCAGTTTGGCCTGGATGGTATTGAAGTATGATGGCGATACTCGTAAGGGTAGGTTCCTAAATAAGTATTGAAGTTTCGGTAGTATGGTCATTTTTAGTGCTACTATTCGCTCCGACCAAGTTAAAAATAACCGGTCCCAGCCCTTCATTGTTTTAAGGCAGTCCTCCCAAACCCTGGTATAATTCGCTGGGAACATATCTGTGACATTTTTAGTAAATGTCAGGCCTAGATATTTTATGTCTTTTTTCCTCCATTCAAATTGGTAGTCTTTGTGTAGGTTCGCCAAGACTTGTGGGTCCAGGCATAGACCTAATGCTTGTGTTTTGGAGGTGTTGAGGGAGTAATAGGACAGTGTCCCATATTCATGTATGAGTCGCATTATATGTGGGAGAGAGCTCTCTGGGTGGGAGATGTACAGCAGGATATCGTCTGCAAACGCCCCTATCTTTATTTGACGGCCATGCCAGTCCACCCCTGTTATTTCTGTTCGGGTTCTGATTCCTGTGAGCAGTGGTTCTAGGGCTAAAACGTAGAGTAGGGGGGACAAGGGGCACCCCTGTCGTGTGCCGTTAGTAATTTTAAAGGGGTTAGACAGAAAACCCGCTTGTAGTACCCTTGCAGTGGGGTGTGAATATAAAGCAAATATCTGTGTGATGAGTTGGTGTGGAAAATCATACCTCTGCAGCACCTTGTGGAGGAAGGGCCAGCCCAGGCGGTCAAACGCCTTTTCGGCATCTAGTGCTAAGAGCAGTCCGCCTGGGCCGGACCTCCTCATCCTCTCTAACACGAGAGCCAGTTTCCGGGTATTGTCCAGACCCTGTCTCCCCAACACAAATCCCGTTTGATCGTCGTGTATGAGTGTCGGTAGTATTTTACCGATTCTGGTCGCTAAGATCTTGGCGTAGATCTTGGCATCCGTATTTAACAACGAAATGGGTCTGAAATTCTTACATTGGTCAGCAGGTTTTCCCGGTTTAGGTATGGTCACTATCGTTGCTAAGAGCATCTCAGTTGGGAGTACTCCTGTGTCCGTGGCTTTTTGGAACACTTGTACGAGTCTGGGACCAAGTATTTCCGTGAACGTTTTGTAATATATATTAGGGAGCCCGTCTGCACCCGGGGATTTCCCTGTAGGGAGGTGTTGTATGGTGTGTAGAACCTCAGTAAGAGTGATGGGTTCAAGTAGTGCATTTCTTTGGTGTCTGTCTATCCTGGGCAGAGGAAGCTGGTCCAAGTACCTTTGGATAGCGTTTTCATCTAAAGGGGTTGTGTCTGGGTGATCTCCCAAATTATATAAGTCAGAGTAATATTTTGCAAACTCCTGGGTGATATCTAAGGGGTTTTGTATTTTGGACCCATTTGGTCCTTGTAAGTAAGCTATTTTGGAGGCCGCCAATTTCTCTCTCAGCCGATTGGCCAGATGTTTTGTCGCTTTCCCGCTATGGTGATATGTGGTGGCCTTCATTCTATGAAGTAGGGACGCAGTTTTGGCTGCCTGTAATTGATGTAGCTGGTTGGTCAGAGATTGTATCTGGTTTGCTAGAAGTGGGGAGGGGGATCGTTTGTTCTGGGTGGTAAGGGCCGCTAGTTTCGTTTGGTGCTCAAGTATTGTAGTTTGTCTTTGTTTTTTGAGGTAGGACGAGCGTCTGATAAATAGGCCTCGTACTACAGCTTTGTGAGCCATCCACACAGTCTGTACTGACACTTCCTCAGTAGAGTTTGTGTGAAAGTAGGCAATGAGTTCAGCTTTTATTTGGTTCATAAAGTCGTGGTCTCGGAGTAAGGAATCGTTCATTCTCCAAGTCCCCCGTCCTTTAAACTGAAAGGAGTCGTGTAACACCAAGTACACTGGGCTATGGTCTGACCAAGTGATATCTCCCATAGAGCATGTAGAGATTTGTGCTAATGTGGGTTGGTCCACGTAAAATGTGTCTATACGGGTATACGTGTTGTGTGCCGCCGAGTGAAAGGAGTAGTCTCTTTCCCCTGGGTGCAGCATTCTCCAACTATCATATAGGTTGTGTAGTGAGAGCAGTTTGGACACTGCCTTGCATGTGGAGTTTACGGTCGCCCGTCGTGTCCCCTGGGGTAGGGCAGTCGTGTCGACTTCAGGGGAGGTAAAGAAGTTGAAGTCACCACAGAGCACCAGTCCACCTTGTCTATATTTGTCTATGTCTTGCAGAAGACGTCTGAGGTATTTTTCTGTCCCAGTATTTGGGAAGTAGGCAGATACCAAGGTATATTGGGTATTATTAAAAAGCCCTACTAGTAGGACATATCTCCCTTGGGCATCTACTAATTTTGTCTGCTCCTGGAATGCCACGTCTTTATGTATGAAGATGGAGGCCCCTTTCGTTTTACTGTCTGATAGGGCATGGTATTGATTTGGGTATAGTTTAGTGAAGATTTCTGGGGTCTTGGCCTTTTTAAAGTGTGTCTCCTGGATACAGGCTATGTCTATCCCTTGTTCTTTTAGCTCTTGAAGTAGTAGCCTTCGTTTACCTGGGGTGTTCAGCCCCTTGACGTTATAGGTCAGTAGTTTCATGCAGGAGTGTCAGGTGGAAATAGTGTGCTTAGGTGGGTCGGGTTTCGTCCATCTGCGCTTATAACCGGTACTGTAATTGCCCTGGGTGGGGGTTGTGCATGGCGTGCGTCACTGTGAAATCTGGGAATGTGACCAGTCAGGGAGTGAGGGAAATAAGTAGGGGGTGAAACTGGGGTGAAAAGAACAATTGGGTAAGATACCCATTTCGGCTCCAAGGAGTGGGGCCGTGCCCTGCTGCCTAGCATGGAGGTGCGGCAGTCGGGGGGGTGGGGGTGAAGTTGGCAGTTCTCTAGGTCGTGCACCATAGAAAAAGCCAAAAAAAAACGTGAGCAGTATTAACATGCAACTATGGTAGCGAACAATGTGTGCAACCCGTTTCTAATATTCTATTTTTTACCGTTTGGTTACGTGTACCCAATAATAGCATATTGTATAGGATATAGATCTCAGTACCTTTCAGCCCCCGGTAGGGGGTGTCTTAGTACCTCTAATCGGGCAGAGACAGATTCTAGCCAGCAACAACGCTTTCTGTTATGCCTTGCACATGTACTCCGGTAAATAACAACTAGCAGTACATAGAATATAGAGGGGTGTCACCCAATTTGTTTTCCCAGGAACAACTCTAACGGGGTTATGCATCTATCTATCAACTGTTATATACATCACATAGTTACGTATGTCGGTAGGAATGTTCAGTTCTCATTGTGTTGTCCACTCCGGGGACATCCTCGGGACTTTAGCTGCTTTGATGGGGTGTAGGTTCTGGATCGGGAGTCCCCATTCTTTCAGCTGCTGGATACCTTGCGCCACTGTGTTGACGGGGTGTATTGCGTCTTGGTAAGAAATTAAGAGTTTGGCCGGGTAGCCCCAGCGGTAGTTCACGTTGTGGTCCCGCAGGGCGGAGGTGACCGGCCCCATGGTTTTCCTGAAGTGTAGCGTGTCCGCTGAGAGATCCGCAAAGATCTTGATGGAAGAGTAGGCTTCTGGCATATCCGCTTTTCTGCTGGCCTTCATTATCCTCTCTTTGGCGTGGAAGAAATGAATCCTCGCAATCACGTCACGTGTGGCTGTCGTGGGCAGGTGCTTTGGTCTGCGCAGCCTGTGTGCTCTGTCTATGATGAGTTGATCCGGGTGGGTTTCTGGTGTAAGGCACTGGAACATGTCTAATAAATAGTTATGCAGTTCTGCATTTGGTACAGATTCCGGGATCCCCCGGAATCTGAGGTTGTTCCTCCGAGCCCTGTCCTCCATGTCTGCCAGTTTTAACCTGTGGGCTTCTAGGGAGTCATCCAGTTCCTGCAGTTTGTCAGCCAAGCTGTTGTGTGCTACTGCATACTCATCCATCTTTGTTTCTATCTGGGAGGTGCGGTTGCCAATGTCCTGGATGTCCTTATGTATTTCAGCTGTCAGTGTTTGGAGCTGTTTTTTAATGTTCAGCTGTATATTGTCTGAGAATTCAGCCATCATTTCTCTGATGGCTCTCATTGTCAGGGGCTGTTCATTTTCTGCATGTGCAGGTGGTGTCTGAGGTGAGGGGGGGTGTTCCCGCCTGTTTTGGCCGCCGCCATCTTGCTCCTCACCCTGCTTGGAGGCCGCGGTCTTTGTAAGAAAGAACGAGGCTCGGTCCGACTTCCCTGCTTTCGTTTTTTGCCGCTGCGACATCACGGGAGGTTGCTCAGTGCAATCTGGTAGGTGATCGCTCGGTATTCTGCTTATTAGGGAGTTTTACAAGCTGCTGTTGAGTTCCAATCCAAATCACCCAAGTAGCGTAACAGCCACACTTATATTTCACAAATATATATATTTTTTTTTAAAGAAATCTTTGTTGTAAATAACTAGTAGGATTTTTAGCGCTTGTATAAAAGGTTGGTAGGCAGCTGGAATGACCCAAACCAGAGTCTCTTTCTCCTGGTGGTGAATACAAAAACGAGTGGTGGAAGGGTAATAGTGGGATGCCCCCGCCCTGCAGAGCTCAGTCTGCACGGAGCCCTCGCCGGGTGAAGATAGATTTAAAAAAAAAAAATTTTTTTTAAGTGCGTCGATTATTATGGTTTTTTATTTGGTCTTTTTGGGGCTGAAAAAAGATTTTAGAAGAAAACATTGAATGTTTTTTTTTTTTTTTTACAGGTACTTAGTTAAAGGTCCCCCCTTCATTATTTTTAGGGTGAGGGGGGTAGGTAGGGGGTTAATTTTTTTTGGTGGGGGGAGGGGGTGACAAGGGGTTTGGGGACCCCTAGTCACCTGGGAGGGGGGGCTAACTTTTTTAATTTTTTTTAGGGGCCGGACAATAGGTCCCCCCCATTGGTATTTAGGGCCCCCACCCGCTCAGGGGTGGGGGCCAGGAAGGAGGACATAAGGTACCTCCCTTATTAGTATTTAGGGCCCCCACCCACCGCTCAGGGGTGGGGCCAGGAGGGAGGATATTAGGTCCCCCCCCCCTATTTTACTGTAGGGCCCCCACTACTGCTCAGGGGTGGGGGCCAGAGGGAAGGACATTAGGTCCCACCCCCCCTTATTATAATTTAGGGCCCCCACCCACCGCTCAGTGGTTGGGGCCAGGACATTATGTCGCCCCCCTTATTCTGATTTAGGGCCCCCACCCACCGCTATGGGGTGGGGGCCCGGGGGGAGGATAATAGGTCCCCCCCATTATTTTACATTAGGGCCCCCACCCGCCGCTCAGGGGTGGGGGCCAGGGGGGCAACAGGTCCCCCCTTTAGTTTAAAAGCCCCCACTGCTCGGCATGCCCCTTCTTGCGGTATAGTGAGTAGGGGCATAATTTACTAATACTAAGTAATCCTTATTTAGTATTAGTAAATTTGGCTGAAAGACCAATTTAGGTCTTTAAGCCTTTTAGTAGATAGCTCCCTAATACCGTGGGTCAAATGCTTACAGCTGAATCCTGGCTGTTTGTATACTTTTTATTTAAAATTGTATACAATGTAACATTCTGGTTAAGTATATTAATATACTGTGCTTCGGAACTTCGGCACTTCAGAAATTCGGTCATTTCGGCACCTCGGCAATTCAGAAGTACCCGAATTGCCCGAAATTCGTCCGAATTCATATTCGGACCGAAACGAATCGCACATGTCTAGTTCAAATCATTATGCAAGATAAGAGAAACTATATTTTGTTTTATTCTCCACATATTACATATCGGTGACCTGTTGTTATCGCACTTCAAGCAAGAACTTCTCCCTACTTCATTCGGGACCCTACTATCACACACCTGTGGCTGGCTACTAGCCCAGGATATGATCAGACCAGGATTACGTATAGCCACAGGCGGGGATCATACCGCTCAGGCTGTATCATTGGAGCAATTTAGAAGTTCCAGAAAATTGTAAGTGCTTTTCTTTATTTTTCTATCAACTACAAAAATGTATTAGGCCTCTTGTTTCTTTTATCTTGCATTTTAAATTGAACCTGGGGACCCCACCAAGGCGCTGCTACTCTTCTCAAATCGATGTTGTGTTCGCAATTGTTTGATTTCCATGAGAGTAGTAGAGTATTTTTTTGAACAAAAGGTTAAATGTAGACAATTTATCACGGCCTTCTTTGCTCATATTTACCAAGGGTGCCAATATGAGTGGAGCGCACTGTACATTATAAACCTTGGTATTAAACCAATTTAAGCACTCAATATAAAGTGTGCAGTGTATTATGGGATAGAAACATTTTCTAAAACAATAGTAAATCTTGCTATTATTGTTTGTTTGACGCACTTGACTTTCTACGAGCTCCACATCGCCCTCTATTTTCGCTTGGTCTTCCTCTTTCTTCTCAAACTCTCTCCAAGCCTTCTGAACATCAGCTACCTCGGCCTCCAGCTCATTCATCTCCTGCTCCAGCTTCAAGCAGTGCTTCTCATTGTTCTTCAATGATTTTTTGGTTGTTTCCACTTTTTTGAGATGGTGGGAAGTATTTTCTTTTGCTTTAATATACTGTGGTCTTGATTGGTTTAAAGCTATTTCTTGAGCTCTTCAGAAAAAAAAGACAAGACTTAATGACATATTTGATTCTTACATATATAGGATGTTATAGTTATAGTATTATAATCACTATACTATCTTTACTTGTAAAATAAACTCAATTTGCCAAGTTTCACAGAAGATTAGTGCCATTAAAACGTTAGAATAAAGTAGGCTTTATATAAATAAAAATATAGTTTGACCAAAAATATAGAAATGGTGTCAAAATTAGAAGACAAGCAATAGAGTTAGTGATCTTTAGCCAGAATCCATTCTTATTCATCCCTGCACCAGCTTACATTATCTGAATGCTGAATGTTCAAAGAGTGATAACTCATCATCACCTATACAGCTGCAAAGCATTCTGTTACACTGATTACAAAGTGATCCATTTCTTACTTCCTTCTGTGTCCAGGAGGAGGCTGGCTGAGCATTCAATGGAAGTAAAGTTTACAAATATCTGCATTTCTATGACTGATCTAGAATCTTACAAAAGCTTATTACAGTGACTGGAAATCCATGAATCGATTTTAGATGAAATATGCTAGTGCTATGATTCGTAAAAACACCAGAGCCGACACTTACTTTATTTCCTTCTCAATCTGCTGCAGATCTCGGTTTAGTCTGCCAAGAATCTTTTTTTCCTCTTTTAGTGCAAATTCAGAGAGAGAAAGCTGCTCTTTTTGACTACCGGTATCACTATACTTTTCTTCCAAATGATTCTCTAAAGTTTCAATTTTGTGCTCGTTATGATAAAGCTGAAATAGCTGAAGCTTCACCTTGCTTTCGTTTAGCTGCTTAAGCAACATTTGGTAACGCTCTGCCTGTAACAAACAAGAGAATACGTCTATCAGGGGCAGTATGTAGTTTAACCAACCCTCTGTGGCAGCATTCGTGACATCACAGCTATTTAACCGTCAGCTTATTTGCTACTTTATGAGGAATGCACAGAAAATCACCTAAAACTTGGGTTAATGTGATATATTTTTCTATGTTACAGATATAGCAATTAGCATTGCTATCCAGTTCAGTCTGACCTGTTTTCATTTTCCACTTGCTATGTTTGCAATGTTACGTTATGCAATTTGTGTGTTTTGGATCCTTATGGGCGTTCTTCTATTAAAGCATCACTCAGCATTTTTTTTTAACTGTCCATTTTGATTAAAACCCTTAAAATCAAAGTTACACAGGCTGAAAAAAGACATGCGTCCATCAAGTTCAGCCTTTTAATAACTATAATTTAATTACAGAAACATGCACAATATCTTTCATCTTTAAATTAACACAAGTGAATGCATCAAAAGAAGAGATTGCAGAATGCACAACACAATTTATTAAAAGTACTTATTGAAAATAGATTTTTGGACCAAAATTCCCTTGAAGTGTTGTTCTGTCTTTTTTTTCCCATTCCTTCTTATAACAAAAGGAAGATAAATAAAATTCAACCACCCCTACTCCTTATCTCATAATTTTTCCAAGAACCATAAATAATAGAATGTGTTGCGCAATTACCCCATTATCAACTAAAGCTGTTAAAGGCAACTACTACCAATTTCAATTAATACCTGAAATTAGTCAGGTACTCGCATTTATTTACCTGGAAACAAATTATCTGCAATACCTTCAAATGGAGGTGGTTTTTATACATCATCACACAAGGACCTGGCAATATGTCAGTACTAGAGAAAGCATTTCACTTCATGTTAGGACATAAGATGCTGCCCTGTAATCTGTACTCTAATTCTCCAAACCTAAGTACTCCTTAACCCATTTTGCTTTATTGGCTGTATGGCTAATTCCTAGCCACCTCTGCCTTAGCCTGTCAGAGGCACCTCTTGGATACAGATAATACAGAGTGAGATATGTTATACACCACCTATCCTATCCTGAAAACCTTTCTTCCAAACCAGTAACTATAAAGAATGGGAAGTAAACAGTTGATTGCAAGAAAAATTGGGTAAATTGGAAGAAAATTAAGACCAAGTACAGACAGAAACACAAGCAAAGGGAAAGCCAGAGCACCTCTTCCTTCTCCAGCTTGGCGTGCTTCCTCTCAGCTGCAACATTTTTCTTTTTACTGTAGACAAACTGAGCATCTTCTTCGGCTTGTAGCATTAGTTTTTTCTTTTTCTCATAATCTTGCGCTAACTCGAATGAGTTGCTTATTTGTTCAAAAAGGTGTGTTCTCTCTTTGGGTTTCTTCATTGCAATGGATTCAACTTCTCCCTATCATTACACAACAAAATGGGCTGTAAAATGATTCCCTTCTCAAGCTCCAGTATACTGATGTTCATTCTGAGGAAACCATTGTGCAACATTACAAATCACAATCCAGATGTTAGGTGTGGTGTGAACAGAGGCTGACAGATTTATTAGTGATACTGCACTCTCCAAGAAGCAAAGAAAGCAAATATGTATTGTAAAAGATATCCATATTTAGATTCACAATAATCACAGTGGGAAAATATACATGCATCTTTGCCCCTAACAGAGGGTGAAATGAGCCTGTATGTTAATGACCCAATGTGAAGAAAAGTCTATACATCCCAAAATGAAATCAAAATAGTAAAACCAATTTATTATAATTTGTACTATTTTGATTTAATGTCGATGCAATGTAGTTGTAGACTTGATTTGTTTCCAAGGGGATTGTTTCAAAATTGGCTTAACATTTGTTTGCAACAATTGTATAATTCTCCCCAAAGTGTAAATATAGCCAACAAATACAACCATTTGAAGATTTATTACAAACAACCACAAAAAATGAATAATAATTTTCCACCATCAGGAAATATGAACAAGTGCTTTAGTGTATGGTCTATTAACCACTTAAATTGACACTTTAGTCACCAGAACAACATAACAGGAACTGAGAATCCATACCTAAAGTACAATGTGAGAGAAAAATGACACACAAAAATTACTAACTAAAGGTTTGACAAAGACTGGTGGTAGAATTAGTGCATGGAAAGTGTTAAAATACCACCATTTGAAATATCCTAGGGTGTCTACTTTTTAAAAATATATAGCTTGATGGGGGTAAATTACATTGGCCAGCTTCAAAAATGTCCCATATAGGACATGGGTGCATGATGACCAGCTGTGAGAATTCCAAGTTGGAAAACTGGAATGCGCACCCGCCAAATAAGGTCTTTTAGCTCCCAGAGAACCCAACACCTATACATGGGGGTATCACTGTACTCAGGAAATGTTGCTGAACACATATTGGTTGTATTCTTTGGCCGTAACCCTTAAATTTCTCAGTACATGTATTCTTAACTTGCTACGTGTGTCAAAAAAATATATAATCACCAATTAATTATTTATTTTTACATTTGGCATAGATTGGTGGTAAAATGGTTGCATTAAAAGAGTAAAAATACCCCAAGTTTAATACCTTACGTTGTCTTCTTTTAAAAAATATATACATGTGAAGGGTTAATCAGGGATTACAGACATATATCAGTGCTGCAATGTAACTTTTGTTAATTAAAAAAAAAAAAAAAAAAAGGTTTGGAAATAGCAAAGTGCTACTTTTACTTATTGCCCTATAACTTGCAAAAAAAAGCTAAGCACATGTTAACATTGGGTATTTCTAAACTCAGGACAAAATGTAGAAACTATTTAGCACAGGTGTTTTTTGGTGGTTGTAGATGCGTAACAGATTTTGGAGGTCAAAGTTAGAAAAGGTGTGTTTTTGAAACATTTTTCATCATATGTTATAATTTTTGTTATAGTAAATTATATGATATGATGAAAATAATGGTATCTTTAGAAAGACCATTTAATGGCGAGAAAAACGGTAAATAATATGTGTGGGTACAGTAAATGAGTAAGAGGAAAATTACAGCTAAACACATACACTGCAGAAATGTAAAAACAGCCCTGGTCCTTAACGGTAAGAAAAGGTTTAAGCACTGCACAGTTTTAATATTATAAGCAGGCTATGATAACCTGCCTAGACATGAAGTAGGATCAAATCTGACTAGCAGGGAAAACTATCTAGACAATATGGTTCACCTCAACAATACTTCACTATTATATATTTTGTTTTGTATATGAATATGTATATTGGCTGCTACACTGTAGTTGTAGACTTGACTTAATTTATATTGTATTAGTGGTCTGCTGATGGTGTGAGTGTCCAATGTATAGCTGCCTTTGTATACGCTCCATTTTTTTATTTTCTTATTTTTTCATAACTTAGATATTTATTTTAACATTTTTGTATTTAAAAGTACACTATAGTCACCAGAACTACAGCTTATTGTATTTGTTCTGTTTAGTATAATCATTCCCTTCAAGCTTTTTGCAGTAAACACTGTCTTTTCAGAAAAAATGCAGTGTTTTACATTATAGCCCAGGGATACCTTCACTGGCCGCTCCTCAGATGACTGCTAGAGGAGCTTCCTTGGGCAGTGCTGCGCAGTGTGACTTGCATTCAGTGTTCCACCCTCTGCATGCAGACACTGAACTTTCCTCACATAGATGCAGTTTCTCTCTATGAGGAGATGCTGATTGGCCAGGGGTGTTTGGCATGTGCTGGTTCTGCCCTCGATCTGCCTCATTGACAAGCTCAGCCAATCCAATGCTTTCCTATGTAAAAGCATTGTGATTGGCTGAGATAATCACTTCTGATGATGTCAGTCAAGCAGGCAGATCAGGGGCAGAGCCAGCAGCAGGTGACTGGAGTAAAGGTAATAAGAAAAGCAAGGGGCAGGGGAGCTAGATGGTGGTTTTAACACTATAGGGTCAGGAATACAGGTTTGTGTTCCTGACCCTATAGTTTTCCTTTATGTTGATGTAAAGGTGGTTAGGAATTGTTTTCCCATTTTCTTTTCTTCCAGCTTAAACATTTAGGGTTTTTATACAATACTACTACCAATTTTTGGTGATAGGAGACATTGAGAGAGCAGACTAATCATGTCTGAAGGATCTGTACCCTGAAAGTGGCGTGTTTGTTTTAAAATAATTTGAAGATATTTACATAGACAAGATAAACACTTAAATCGCATGGGTGAAAAGTCAACAACCAATATATTTGTAAAGTCTTAACCCTCTCACATATCTACACGTACCTACATAACTACAAATTTAAAAAATATATATATATATATGACTAGGCTGGGAGTTGTCTTATTTAAAGAAACTTTTCAGGCACTTGAAATGATATTGGAAAAATATATATATATATATATATATATATATATATATATATATATATATATATATATATATATATATAGTTCTGAGGTGTTAGTTGTACATTAAACTAAAAAACATCCCCATATCCTGAAGGGATTGACACAATTAGAAGCTCAGCTGCAGCCATCAATAAAGTATGAAAGTCAACAACTAGTCATTAGAGACAAACATTTATTCTAAGGCACTTATCACTCTTTAACCATGGGGGGGTGGCATCCAAACACATCACAAAAGGGCCTTGGTTATTAATGCACAGTATCTCAAAAAGTGTCTTGATTTTTAAGGGGTAAACACCACAGAGGACTGAGATATATCACAGGTGGGTGCAGATCAGCAGCATATGCCACATGATCATATATTTTCCAAGTATCACAGTGGTTGCTAAACCTCTGGCAATCATTAGGACAAACATATTAATTAATAACGTACCTGAAATACTAGACAGTTTCTGGCTTTCACAATAATCCCAATTTTTTCAAGTTCCAAAATATATGCTGAGCGACCTATTGACTTGTTGTTTAACCGATACTCACAGGAATTCCCTTGAAGGAAAATGCATCCATATTACTGAAATTCTAAGCCACACGTTTTTAGTGCCAGAAGGGTAAACCTAAAGAGAAAATGCTTACCTACTATGATTCGTGAAAACATTTTTTCCTCTCCATTCTCCTCACAATAGAGTAAGTGAACACTTGCTGTAGAAGACACTGGTTTCCCAATATTTGATCCATGAATAAGTTCCCGTACATGTTTTACCCTGAGGTTTGCCGTCTTCTCTCCCATTACAAAACTCAGTGCATCCATCAAATTAGATTTTCCTTTAAAAATAAATACAGTGCAATTATTGAAAAAACAAACATGCCTACAAGGTAGGACAGGAGGCTGGAAGACACTTTACTAATTCATAACTCTACATATAAGGCAAACACAAAATAACATACACATTGTCATTTAATAGATTCAGCGGAGCTGTGAAACTAGAAAAGTTGGATAAAGGGTACATCATAACTACTGTATATACTAGTGTATAAGTAAAAAAATTTTAGTTCTAAACTTCATTTTTAAATTTAGAGTTGACTTATCCACAGGTCAGTGCTAGTTTCGATAGAATTTTGTATGGCGTTCGGGAGTCGAATGCGGGGCAATGTCGACTCCCGAACGCCATTCTCCTAGCTGGTTGGGAAGTCGACATTTAAAAATCATATACAGCTTTAGTAGAAATATTTAAAGGAACACTCCAAGCATTACAAAGGATGTACTTGGAAACCAGACATATCTGGTTATGGTGCCAGGAATGCACTCTCCTCCCCAACTAAATAGTCAGACCATATAGTAAGCATTCAACATCTTACCTGGGGTTCTCCTGGCATCACTCCCTGCCTCCTCCTCTCAGTCAGTAAGTCTATGCCTAAGCTAAGCCCAACGGTGCACGGCTTAGCTCAGACCAATCACACATTTACCAAAAAAATTCAGTGCACTCTAGTGATGAAGTCTCTTGGAGTGTTCCTTTAAGTAACGTGGATGTGCGAACAATGAACACCTAAAGTATGTGCATAAACAATTACAAAATGCATGGAGTTATGCATCCCCAATAATGATGATGCAATTCTAAATTTTTCCAGCTGAGTCACTCTGCATTTTGGGGAACGCAAGAATGCTCTTGGAGGAAAATGCTACAAATAATTGTGATATGTTTATTTAGAAAATTGGGCAGACTAGATGGGCCGAATGGTTCTCATCTGCCGTCACATTTAATGCTTCTATATCCCCTTAGGATACATGTAACCAAGCAAAAAATGAATGGTCTGATCTTTATCAATACAGTCAACTGATGTAGTAGCAGTACTATATTTGACTAGTAAAGCCTTCACCTTGCCAGATCAATGCCAATACTTGAAGTGTGGTATCTGTGAGCCGACCAGACAAAAGGAGGCTCAAATGTGGCTATCCCCAAAGAAAATATTCTACAAGAGAGCATTAATACTAGTTGTCTATTAGTTCTCTATTGAGAGTGCAATTTTAAGACCTACAGTTGTGCTTACAAGTTTGCATACCCTGGCAAAAATTGTGAAATGTCGGCATTTATTTTAAAAATATGACTGATCATGCAAAAACATCTTTTATTGAAGGATAGTGATCATATGAAGCCATTTATTATCACATAGTTGTTTGGCTCCATTTTAAATCAAAATGATAACAGAAGGTGACACACACACACAGGTTAAAATTACAATTAAAGGTTACTTTCCCACAACTGTGGCTTTTTAAATTGCAATTAGTATCTGTCACGGCAAGGGTGCATAATTTATTATTACACTATGGAATATTGCTATTTAATATAACTTGTGTAGTGCATCAATAATTTGACCCCTGGGTAGAGGACAAATGGCAGAGAGAATTTGCTCATTAGATCAAAAGGGACTTCTGCAAGGTGTGAAAAGGATTGCCCTTTTGATCTATCAAAGGCCCTACAAGGTGAGACATTTTACACTTGAACAGCCTGTATGTCTAGTTTCAATGTAAACTAACAGACTTTGACCATATGGCCTGAAACTCTCAAGTGATAGTTCAATCCTTTGATATAGTAATGATATTAGTTTCATGAAGACCTTTGGGTTCCAGTATCATATCCAAGAGAAACATTAATACTTACCCACAGGTTAATAATTAAGCCTCATTTTTATTATATTATGAATGGGACGAGCCCAATCTTTTAATTAAGCCTGCAATTAGGCTAAGAACACTCTGATTGGTGGGTTTAAGCCAATCAGAGTGCTCTTTGTCATTTTACACAGCGTGGCTTTATAAGCCTTCCCCCGCCCTGCAGAGCTCAGTCTGCACGGAGCCCTCCATGGGTGAAGATGGATTATTTTTTTGCGCTTGGGTTTTTTATTTTATTTTAAGTTCGACGGGTATGATGGTTTTTTATTTGGCCTTTTTTGGGGCTGAAAAACGAAGATTTTAGAAAAAAGATGTTGAATGGTACGTTTAATTTTACTTTACAGGTTAGTAATTTTATTCCCCCCTCACTATTTTTTAGGGTGGGGGGGGGTAGGTAGGGGCCTTTTTATTTGGATGAGGGGGTGGGTGACTAGGGGCTTGGGGACCCCTAGTCACCTTTGATGAGGGGGGGTGGGAATTTGACTTAGGGCCCCCATCCGCCACCCAGGGGTGGGAGGACAGTAGGTCCCCCCCTCATTATCTTTATGGCCCCCACCCGCCTCCCAGGGGTGGGGGCCGGGGGAGGACAGTAGGTCGCCCCCCCTCATTATCATTTGGCCCCCACCCGCCGCTTAAGGGTGGGGGCCGGGGGGGGGAGGACAGTAGGTCCCCATCCCCCCCATTGTAATTTATGGCCCCGACTCGCCGCTCAGGGGTGGGGGCAGGATAGCAGGTTTTTTTTTGTTACAGTTAGCAGGCACAGGCTGTTTAGTAGACATGCCCTTACTCACGGTATAGCGAGTAGGGGCATTGGGGAGATTTTAATCTCCCTTATGCTATTATGGGGGTCATATTGATCCCCACAGAGTGAGGGGTGGGACCTGGGGGGCTTAGGAAGTGGCAGGGAGCACTGCTCCCTGCCGCTTCTATAGTTACATATTACACAAGGAGGGAGCTTGTAATAAACTGAACGAACAAACGAACGCTGATACACAGTGTTAGTTTGTTCGGCTGATTTTTCTATTCATTCATTGGTCTGTCTGATGAATGAATAGATGAAATTCCTGTTCGCATGTCCAGGTTGTGTCACTGGGCATGTGCGGGAATCTCACAGTCTATCTAGTGTGGGCAGATAACGTGTCCCACAGGGACTTCATCTACCCACACAAAGATGGCGGCACCCTGAATAACGATCGGGGCAGAAAATAAAGATAAAAAATAGGGAATATGGGGGGCTTAGGGACATTTGGGGGTGACTAGGGGGTCAATTGGATGTAGTGGAAGCGGGAGGAGGGTTAAACTCCCCCTCCCCCCCAAAAAACGGGATTCGTAATGACAGTGCCGCTTTAAGTAACATTTGATGGGTTTTTATTATTGTTGATTTACCTGGGGGACCAAGGAACCCCATTTATAAATTGTCTTGGAGGTGGCAACGTTCAAATGGTAATAGCTATATTATTATGTTTGTGTGGGGTTACGGGGGATTTTGTCATTATTTCCAGTCTAGTGCAGATAAATAGTGAACTTTAACGCTTTCACCACCACAACTACGTAACGCACACTCTTGAAGTAGGGTGCGTTCGTGACAGTGTCTGTGTATGAATAGTTTGTAGCTGTCACGTGGATGGACAGGCTAGATACTGAGCCATGGGGAGCAGAAAATAACTGTCAAAAGACCTCCGTAACAAGGTAATGGAACAGGATATACAAAGATCTCCAAAGCCTTGAATATGCCAATCAGTACTGTTCAATCGCTTATTAAGAAGTGGAAAACTCTGGGATCTCTTGATACCAAGCCATGGTCAGGTAGACCAAGAAAAATTTCAGTCACAATTGCCAGAAGAATTGTTTGGGATACAAAGAAAACCCCACAGGGCACCTCAGGAGAAATACAGGCTGCTCTGTAAAAAGACGGTGTGGTTTTCAAGGACACAATACGACGATACTTGAACAAAAATGAGCTGCCTGGTCGAGTGGCCAGAAAGAAACCTTTACTACGTCTATGCCACAAAAAAGCCTGGTTACAATATGCCCAATAACACCTTGACACGAGTCACAGCTTCTGGCACACTGTAATTTGGAGTGAGAAGACCAAAATAGAGCTGTATGGTCACAACCATAAGCACTATGTTTGGAGAGGGGTCAACAAGGCCTATAGTGAAAAGAATACCATCCCCACTGTGAAACATGGTAATGGCTCACTGATGTTTTGGGTCACTAGGAATCTTGTGAAAATTGATGGCAAGATGAATACAGCATGTTACCAGAAAATACTGTCAGACAATTTGCATTCTTCTGCACGAAGGCTGCGCATGGGACGCTCTTGGACTTTCCAGCATGACAATGATCCGAAGCATAAGGCCAAATTGACCCCCCCCCCCAGTGGTTACAGCAGAAAAAAATGACTGTTGTGGCCATCACGGTCTCCAGACCTTAATATCATCAAGCCAATCAGCGCTGAATTGCATTGAATTAATGCATCTCTATGATACCCTGCAATTACAGTTTACTTTCATAAAGTTTTCTCTTTTTCCAGTTTAATCCAGATTTGTTCGGTTACCGTTGGATCTCGCTTTGGTAGTGTTGATTGGTTACTCCATTTTTAAATATTATATGCCTGTCTTTGTGCTGATTGGTTGTTTCTTTTCAGCTTCTGTTAACTGTTTATTTGCTCTTTAGATTATTTATTCACCAAGGCTAGAATAATCCACAATTAGGGTGATGTTTCGCAGACACCTCCCTTATTTGGTGTTCTTAAATACAGAAATCCGACATAAATATAGCAAATAGGGGAATTATCTGTAAAACTGTTTAAATATGAAAATTAAGAGGTGTCATTAGCCAGCCCAGAAAAGTTGGCACATTACCCACCTCACCACCACCATAGTGAAAATTATCAGTGCCCCCATAGTTTTGACCCTGGTACCTCATGTTACCCCCACCCTATATTGTTCCTATTATTACTGGCATTTATACAGTGCTAACTTATTCTGCAACACTTTACAGTATAAAGGAGGACATTTTATAATAAATTACAGGAAAGTAGCACAACTAAAGGTGAGAGTGGAGTGTGGCCATGTGCCCCCTGGCTGTCTCTGTGGCTGCCTGTGGCCCCTGGCTGTCTCTGTGGCCCCTGGCTGTCAGTCAGGGCAGACCTTTACCTGAGCCATTGGGGCCGATTACACAGTTAAACCGTTTGAAGGGGCCGATGAGCTGCCGGCCCCGCCATGACTTGAAGTCTTGCAGTTCGAGCTGCTTCAGGAAGCCCATTCCGCCCTCTGACAGGATCCCAACCGCAGCCTTCCCGCCAAAACCCGCGCGCGCACTCACAGGGGGCGGAGACCGCAGCTAACGGCTTCAAGTGACCACCCGGGCGAGGGGGCGGGGCAAAGAGGGAGAGGGTGGGCACGTGCCTGGCCTCTTAGCAACCGCTTGTGTTACCGTCTCCCAGGGCAACGGAAGGCTCCGACTCCATCATCAGGAAGGGCAGAGAAGGCTCGCAGGCTGGGGGTGAGGGTACACAGTGCTGGGGGTGAGGGCACACAGTGCTGGGGGTGAGGTACACAGTGCTGGGGGGGTGAGGGTACACAGTGCTGGGGGGGTGAGGATACACAGTGCTGGGGGGAGGGTACACAGTGCTGGGGTGAGGGTACACAGTCAGGGGGTGAGGGTACACAGTGCTGGGGGTGAGGGTACACAGTGCTGGGGGAGGCACACAGTGCTGGGGGTGAGGTACACAGTGCTGGGGGGTGAGGTACACGTGCTCACAGTCAGGGGTGAGGTACACAGTGCTGGGGTGAGGTACAGTGCTGGGGGTGAGGGCACACACAGTGCTGGGGGTGAGGTACACAGTGCTGGGGGTGAGGCACACAGTGCTGGGGGGGTGAGGTACACAGTGCTGGGGGATGAGGGGCACACAGTGCTGGGGGTGTGGGGGTACACAGTGCTGGGGTGAGGGTACACAGTGCTGGGGGTGAGGTACACAGTGCTGGGGGTGGGGGTACACAGTGCTGGGGGTGAGGGTACACAGTGCTGGGGCACAGAGTGTACACAGTGCTGGGGGGTGAGGGTACACAGTGCTGGGGGGCACACAGTGCTGGGGGTGAGGGCACTGAGTGCTGGAGCTAGGTGAGGGCACACAGTGCTGAGGTGGGGAGCACAGTGCTGGCTGTGAGGGGCACACACAGTGCTGGCAGGCTGGGGGTGAGGCACACACAGTGCTGGCAGGCTGGGGGTGATGGTACACAGTGCTGGCAGGCTGGGGGTGAAGGTACACAGTGCTGGGGGTGGGTGCACACAGTGCTGGCAGGTTTGGTGGGGGTGAGGGCACACAGTGCTGGCAGGTTGTGTGGGGCGAGGGCACACTGTGATTGGGGTGAGGCCACGTAGTGCTGGGTGGGAGTGAGGGCATGCAGTGCTGCCAAGCTGGGGTGAGGGCACACAGTGCTAGCAGGCTGGGATGAGGGCACGCAGTCCTGACAGGCTGGGGGTGAGGGCAAGCAGTGCTGGCAGGCAGGGGCTGCTGTTGGAGTAAGTGCGGATTGACTGGTGGCAGAGTGACTGATTAGTGATGGAGTGAGTGCAGATTGACTATGGTGGAGTGGGTGCAGGCTGGCTGGTTCTGGAGTGAGTGTGGACTGCTGTTGGAATGAAAATAGAAGAGATTCCCACATATAAATTATATGTAGGAGTCTCCGAAATTGGTTACTTAAAGTCTCTTGAGAAAGTCTCTTGAGAAAGGCAGCTTGCGCCGAAATGCACATTGAGTCAACGGCACTTTTTGGGTGATATGCACTAATGTGCATCTGTTTTTAGTTCACCTTGCTCTGTGGTTAGGCACTTTGGCGACCTTTTTACTTTAATGAAAAGGGGCTTGTTAGCGATACTGGGGACTGCCTCGAAGCAGTAGGGGGTTAGAATATTATTATTAGGATTATAGGATTAGAATATAGGTTATTCTTCATATTTATGTGAACCTTTGTTGCCTTTGTTCTAAACTCTAATCCTAACTCCTTTACCACTCCCTGCTTTATATTTAAATACCCGAGGGACTGTCTCAAAGCAGTAGTTGGGTAGCATATCATTGTTAGGGGTATAGAATTTATCTTTAGAATATAGAGGCAGGGAATACATCATACTTTTATTAACTACACTTTAATGTTGCCTTTAGTCTAAACGTTAAAGGGACACTATAGTCACCTGAACAACTTTAGCTTAATGAAGCAGTTTTGGTGTACAGAACATGCCCCTGCAGCCTCACTGCTCAATCCTCTGCCATTTAGGAGTTAAATCCCTTTGTTTATGAACTCTAGTCACACCTCCCTGCATGTGACTTGCACAGCCTTCCATAAACACTTCCTGTAAAGAGAGCCCTATTTAGGCTTTCTTTATTGCAAGTTCTGTTTAATTAAGATTTTCTTATCCCCTGCTATGTTAATAGCTTGCTAGACCCTGCAAGAGCCTCCTGTATGTGATTAAAGTTCAATTTAGAGATTGAGGTACAATTATTTAAGGTAAATTACATCTGTTTGAAAGTGAAACCAGTTTTTATTTTCATGCCGGCTCTGTCAATCATAGCCAGGGGAGGTGTGGCTAGGGCTGCATAAACAGAAACATACTGATTTAACTCCTAAATGACAGTGAATTTAGCAGTGAAAATGCAGGGGAATGATCTATACACTAAAACTGCTTTATTTAGCTAAAGTAATTTAGGTGACTATAGTGTTCCTTTAATTCTTCCTCCTATACTACTTCCTGTTTTGTATTCAAACATTGCTTGCATACCTTCTAGCTATCTGTATACCCAGTTAATTGTCCCTTTTTTGCAATTTAATGTGAGTTCTAAGTGGTATTTTCTAGTTTCACTGATTTGAGCTTGGTTACATCACATCATATATTTGTAACATCTAATCAATTTTATTAATGACACGGAGGCTCCTATTATGCTTTCTCTTTCTTACTTTATTCCTCAGCAGCAAAGAGAAAATATAACTGAAAGAGAAAAAATGTATAATATGAATAATATATAACAGATAAAACCAGATCTGCCTAGTAACAGGGCAGCCAATCAGTTTATAGGAACAGTCCATAAATGTCTTGCTGTGTACTTCCACTTCCTCTTTCTTTGCTGCTGTCCTCAGACCAGCTAAGTATAATTTTTACCTCCTGTATATTTGATCTGTATTATTGCTGCCAGGGTTGTTTACCCAGTTTACATTTATTTGTTTTGTATTCAGTCTATGCTTATGGTTTTGTGTTTGTTTGAATTGTTGCTCTTCGGTGAGTCATTTGTTAAGGACCTAGGCTCCTTTGTGCGCACCTTCACCGCCCTAGATAAGGCCCAGTCCAACTTGAAACGAGTTTTTGGCCCAAAGGTTTTCCAAGGGGCCGGGAGGTATAGGAGTCGTCCGCCCGGCCGTGGAGCTCGAGGTCCCTCACGGACTCACAGAGGTTCCTTTGCTGCCCCTCGGACCTACCAGGAATACAAGCCTGCTCCCTTCTTCCCCTTATGCGGGAGACCGTGGCAGAATCAAGGAGGTATGGTAAGTACCCCCAAATGTGTTTTTTCCCATGCAAGCGTGGGGGGCAGGCTAGCTTTATTTATCAATATGTGGGGCATGATCACCACACATGTGTGGGTTTTGAATATGGTCAGGGGTTTCCGCCTAGATCTTTTGTCCCCACCTTTCCAGATGTGTATACCACAGGAACTGAGATTTCCGGAAGAGCAGTCCGGGTTGATTACTGCGGAAATCGCAGAACTTCATGCCAAACAGGCAATACAGGAAATCTCGTACGAGACCCCGGGGTTCCTAAGCAATTTGTTCCTCGTTGCCAAGAAGGGCGGAGGAGTTCGACCGGTCATAAATCTCAAATGCCTCAACTAATTTCTCCGTTACCATCACTTCAAGTTGGAAGGCATTCATTGCCTCAGGGACCTGCTCCGACAAGGGGACTGGATGGTCAAGCTGGACCTCAAAGATGCCTATTTGACCATACCAATGGCAGAGCAGCACTGGAACTTATTGCACTTTACGTGGCAAGGACGTCGGTGGAGGTTTACCTGTCTGCCCTTCGGTCTATCTTCCGCTCCCTGGTGCTTCACAAAGGTAATGAAGCCGGTAGTGGCATTCCTCAGGGCTCGGGGGGTCCTTATGATTATTTACCTGGGCGACATCCTGATTATGTCTTTGTCCCCCAGCTCCTATGTCACCTGGACTGGACGGTGAATCTCCTCAAAGGTTTAGGTTTCCTCATAAATTGGGAAAAATCCATAGTGACCCCGGTACAAAAGATAGAATTCCTGGGTTTCGAAGTCGACTCGATCGCCCAATTCTTGTTCCTTCCAGAGACCAAATTAAAGGCTATGAAAAAAGAAATAAGACGTACACTACGGGCCACCTCTCTCTCCGTACGACAACTGGCGAGAGTGATTGGTCTTTTGGCCTCATCGATTCAGGCGATTTTTCCAGGACCCCTACAATATTGGGCCCCACAACGTTTGAAGGGATCCCATCTTCGGTTGGGCAGTTCGTCCGAAAGCAAATTGAGCCTGGACAGGGATTCCAGGGAAGAACTACTGTGGTGGTTAGAAGGCCGAGCAATCTTCGGATCCTCTCCAGACGTGGTGATAGAATCGGATGCCAGCCTACATGGTTGGGGCGCTCGTTGTGGAAATGTCTCCACAGGTGGCAGATGGTCCGAAGTCGAGTCAAGGCTATAAATAAACTGTCTGGATCTGCTGGCGGGGTCATTCGCCATTCGCAGCCTGTCTCCAACTCTGGGAAATTGGAGACCGGACCCATCGGCTATGGCGGTGGATGCTTTCCTGCAAACTTTGCCTCTGGTTCGTCACTTTGCGTTTCCCCCATTCAACCTGATTTCTCGGACACTGTGTGGTGACATTCTGTCATCAAACTAATATGGTGACCAGGGGTCATGTGACCCAGCTCATGTATGCCTTTCTTACAGGGGGATAAGCTTTACCCTTTGATATGGTAATTGGGTAATTCAATACCTTTTACAAGTCAGGAAAGAGATAACCACTTTCCCCCATCTCCATTCCTCTCTGTTCCTTCTTGGCTGTGCTACAGAGCAGACACCATGTGCTATCTTGGTGAACTATGTTACTGTCTGTTGCTTCCTTTTCTTCCTTGGTGGATGTGATGTTGAACTTGCAGCAGTGAGCCATTACTAGATGTGAAGGCCTAACCGTGGGTGAGATCAAACGTGTGGGGAAGGTGATTACTATATAGATAGATAGATTTAAA